AGTGAAATGTCTCAGCGTCTTACATGTAGGACACTGGGCATATACGGGTTAAAAGCGTAATCGATACGGCGCGAATACGCGAAGAAGGAAAAAGAATGCAACAATGAAGGAAGTTGGATCAAAGGAATGGACGAGGTTCTAAAGAACGGTTATTACAACGTGATTCAGTGCGGTGCCCTTCATAAGTTTTGCACGAGCACGAACGCAGTGCTCCACGACTACACGAGGTCGCGCTCACGTTGCCGAAGATCGCCTTGAATAATTCAACTGAAGTTGTCCAGGACACCTGAGTCTGCGCAGCTGCTCAACTTTGTGGAAATTATGCACTGAAAAAAAAAAATCATAACTATAGGTGATGTTCTGGTGGTACAAAAGACGAGTATTTTCCCGCAAAATTTCGGGGTCCTCGTGTTTTCAAACTATAGTATACAAGAGGCCAGACGGCCGATGGTAATAATAATAATAATAATAATAATAATAATAATAATAATAATAATAATAATAATAATAATAATAATAATAATAATAATAATAATAATAATAATAATAATAATAATAATAATGGGTAATTCCGCACCAACTGTTTCAATCGTGGCGCTGGCCAAAAACCTACGTCCATAAAAAGACATCGAAAAAAATTACACTCATATAAACGTAAATTGTACCGTACGTTCCGATAAAATATTTTGAGCGGTGAAAAATTTGTGCGCACGCGACCGCCGTTTGAAATCCACGAAATTATGAGAAACTAGGTATGAAAAAATATTTTATAAACCGACCATTTTCTTTCAGCACTTGCTTCTTTTGCGTTTTTGAGCATCGTGCTTTGATTATAGGACAGTTGCTTATGCTACATTTATTTTTCACTGCTTATAGCACGCAGGCAAAGTCGAGTAAATTGTAGCGTTTTTCGGAAATTTTTCTTCAAAAAAGTAATTATAGATCAATTGCACAAATTTATTATACCAAACTTTCCATAAAACGTGCTATCTCCTAATATTATCTTTTTTTTTTTTGCCTGAGTGTAGCACAAAGGCTCTAAAATAAAAGTTTCAATCGTCAGGCAAACCCGAATAGTTAGGTATGCATAAAAGAGGTGATGCACTCTTGTAATCAACCCATGATGTTTCTTTGACAAGCTAGCGTACAGCTTCGCATTCCTCTGCTAAGCCGGAGGTCGCGGGTTCTACACCTGACCTAGGCAGCCAGGTTTCAAATACGGCTAAGGGGAGAAACGTTCCGCATATAGGATGTTTAGATGGACGTTTAAAGGAAGTTCTGGTGATCAAAAGCCATTCACGAAGGTTCAAACTAATCGTGTATTGAATTAAATGTAAAAATTCCGCAGATGTCTGCCTGGTTGGGACGGAAGTTTTCCTAAAATAAATTTTGGTTGGAGCTTTCTCCTTTCTGAAATCGTGTCTTGGCCTTTCGAGTCAAAGATTGCGCTTTAAACGTGTTAATTTCTTAATGCTTCCACCGATTTAGTAAACGCACCGTATGCACGCACAAGCAAGCGTTGTTTGCTCCACTTGTGCCTGGCTGCTTATGTCTGCAAGCTCGCGCACCGACGTCGGCAGGGGCCGTGGACGCATACCCCGGCGCCCTATAGCACCTTCCAGTGCCGAGCCTACCCGAAATAGACCCCCTCCACCGACGGGAAGCTGAAACTTAAACCCACCAGCTCACCGCTGCTAAATGTGTCCGCCAGCGATCTCCCACCGCCGGACGGCCGCCCGGTATCCAGGCGCAGCACACACACTTTGGACGAGCATCGCCTCTGAGGAAGGCGCGCGCACCCCAGAAGCGATCTTAGAAACACCCACACACACACACACGTCACCGGTGTCGAAACAAACAACGGGTGAAAACAAGCGGTCAAGGCCACTCGTCTTCCACGCCTATGCAAGACCTCTGGCGGTGGATTTCACAGTTCTTCGAAAACCAGACGAAAAAAAAAAAAAAAACGACCGTCGTCGATAGCTGCAGAAGTCTGTGTCGTAGTTCTTGCCTGTCTCAGCGTGGATTATCGCGATGTTCCTACTTAATAATGCAAAACGAACCAGACCAAAGCTACACTTTACTAAGAATCACTTCGGCGCTGGTTCTGTTTCGACGACACGAGATAGCGAAATGGATAGCATCGAACCAGACGCGTGCAAATTTGGACGCTGGAGAGAAGACTCGAGAGTGCAAATGATATCCATTTACCAATCGTAGCGTCGTTTACCACGAATCATCGAACGGTAGTAGAGTAAAGGGTCGTCCACATTTGAGGTGAATGTCTCATTCGTATACATGGCGTCATCGAAGCTGATGTTTGGTACATATACAAGAAATTACTGCGGTGCTTATTGGCACCATAATTACACGTCGTGTAGCCAATATCTCCGTCGTGACGTAGAATTAACTTTCTAGTGTAATCGGCCTCAGAACTGTGGTCGACCCTGCACATCTTCCTTCCTCCCCAAGGACGATTACGACAGACCTCCTACCTAGTCTTATCAGAGCGCTGCACACGTGGGCGTGTGCTCGGGGGGGGGGGGGGGGGGGGGGGGGTACGAAGAGAGGGAGGCGTCAGCCCCCCCTTGTCACCTAAGGGGGAGGGGCGCGATGTTAGTTCCATACATTGACTTAATAAAGAAGGGGGGGGGGGCACTACAGAGAACACTTCCTCCCTCCCCTGACTGGAGGGGAACCCCGCGCACGCCTATGACTACACAAATATAAAATTCTCTGTATAAATACCCCCCCCCCCCGCACATGTTCTCTCTATGATTTCACTGTAGCGTTTCAGTGTCCTTGCTTGTTCCCGTTCTTGGAATGTACCCCAACCCCAGTAAAAACCACATTTGGGGTCGACAGTATACTGAAATAAATATATAATATTGGTGACGGTCTCTCTCACTTCCCCCTTTTCTCATGCCTACAATAAAGGGTAAACCTTCGGCACCAGGGTCACTGGAAGACGCATCACAGCGAGTAACAATACTAACGTTCTGCACCTCGAGAATAGCGTTGAAACGTCTGGTATTGCACCAAGAACAGATTCGAATGAACAGTCAGTCGGAAAGGGATTGTGAACGTGTACCAACTTCGACACATTTCGGGATTTGGCCGCAAGCTAACGTGTACGCTCGATACCAAAAGATTTCGAAGTGCTTTGGAGTATACTTATAGTCCTAAGCTTCCAACGTGAAGTCCCCCCCCCCCCCCCACCTTCATATACTTTTCGCTCAGAAAAGCGTATACAGTCTGAAAAAACATACGGGAACTGACGTGAGAACACATATTAAACATTCGAAGACGATCTTGATTGATTGATATGTGGGGTTTAATGTCCCAAAACCACTGATGATTATGAGAGACGCCGTAGTGGAGGGCTCCGGAAATTTCGACCTCCTGGGGTTCTTTAACGTGCACCCAAATCTGAGCACACGGGCCTACAACATTTCCGCCTCCATCGGAAATGCAGCCGCCGCAGCCGGGATTCGAACCCGCGACCTGCGGGTCAGCAGCCGAGTACCTTAGCCACTAGACCACCGCGGCGGGGCATGAAGACGATCTTGGTCCAAAAACATTACAAGGTTACGATTTCGGCAGAAACACACAACAAGCCTCTGCGTCTCGGTAAAACAGTGGCTAAGGTGTTCGGCTGCTCACCGGAAGGTCGCGGGTTCGACTCTCGACCGCGGCGATCGTATTTCTATGGAGGCGAAATGGCAGAGGTCCACGAATTAAATAACACCAGATGGCCGAATTTTCCGGAGCCCTCCACAATGGCGTCATTCATAATCATGCCGTGGTCTCGGGACTGAAAACCCAGGTGGCATTATTACTATAGGCCCTCGTTATAAATAAGTCGTATCCAGCCTAGAAATGTGCTTTGCTATAAGCGGTATCTCACCAAAAAAAAATTGGCTCTGATGCAGTAGTAGTAAAATGACTACACCAACAATGGTCAAGGTTTTAATGAGTGTTGATACAACCATGTCAACAGTGGAGGCAATGCAAAAATTATGTGGACGCGCGTGAGCAACTGGAACGTCTTTCATTTGTCATATGAAGCCAGGCTCGAGGACCGGCCGCCTTTTAGTGTGATTAACCCGGCAGAAAGATGTGAAAAAACGGTACATCTTTGTACCGGACATGCTTAGGAAAAGCTGGGATCCACAGAACGTTCAGTGCGAGATGTGATCAGAACTCACGAATATCGAATAAACCGATATAGCGTATGCATTAAGCGACTTCGTTATAACGAGTGGAGTTTTATTATTTTCGAGTTTTACATTCTCGAAGCTTTCGTGAAAAAAATAATTGTTCACTAAACACAGACTGTGAAAATTTCATTGACAGTGGCAATTAAGCTGCAGTTTAAAGCCTTTCCGTGTATTTTTGGTCTGTCCATTCCAAACTAACAGCAACTTCATATGTGCCACTAGCCCAGTCAGGCACGAATGATGTTGAATGACAATGTTGCCGTTGGAAGGGCGACTCGTTTTCATCGACAATACATAACTAACAAAAATATGGCGAGACCGCTCTGTACGGCCAAGGATGCTCTGTCTGCAAATACCTGCTCATACGACGTATTTTCAATAAAAAGTAAACGTAACACAAAAACAGCTTGTCCAGTATTAACAACTTATGCAGGATGTTTTCGTGAACGACTGGGGAAAAAAAAGCGGACCTACGTTGGAATATTGTCCCTGCAGAGAGACTGTCAAAAAAAAAAAACATCTTGTAAAGCTCCCAAGAAATCGGCGCAAATTAGGACAGCACCATTTTCATTACAATAAATGCGTAAAGGTTTCGGGGACATCGGCCACACCTTTATCACTTTTGTCGAGAATCAGTGAAACATCTTTTTTTTTTTCTTTACACAACTGCACCTTGCGTAATTTTCTTGTTTTCGAAAGCTATCTGAGTTATTCTTCGCCACGCACAACTACGGACGAAATCCAAGATGTAATGCTATAGGAATTTCCTGAGCAACTTACCTGTCACAACAATGGTTTTGCCTTCAAGGGAGTCGTCGTTGTGGAAGAATTCGGTCCTTCGAATGATGTGCTTGGCCAAACAGAGCAGTCCGACGAGTAGGGAACACGGAAAGAGCAAGTAGAAGGCGTACTCGGAAAGCGTTCCTTCCATCATCTTGAAGCCGTTAGCACCGCTACTTTAGGCGCGGAGAAAAAAAAAAACAGCGCCGCGAAACAGGCTTCCTTCCCAGGTACGAAAAAGAGGCGAACACTAGCAACAAAAGAAGAGGGAATCCACACTTCGAAGTCGTGCACAGCGGAAGAAAAAAAAAAGCCGCAAATGCCACGCTGCAGTAAATGCGACAAACTACGGCCGCAAAACGCGTCGTCTGCTGCGGACAGAAGACCGCAGCGTCGTCTGCTCGCGATGAAGGAGGATTAAGCGAGCTTCCAGGAAAGTACGTTAGAGGTCGCCTCCGTTTCGACAAGCAAAACAAGAACCTGGGACGGAGCCATTGGCGGTGTTCTTCGCGCGTAATTCTGTGCCGCCCACTCCCAAAACCGGGCGTCGGGCAGGATCCACCTCCTTCCCTTTCTACGCGGGTGCTGGGTGTATATATATAGAGGCAGAACACCGGGCGTATATAAACTACGGCCGGCGTAAGCGGCCGGCGCTCCACACCCTACCCAGCGCGCCCGCCTCACCGCGACGCCATCTTTGTTTCTTTCGTCTAAAACGCGTTTCTACCAAGCACGCTTTCAGCGCAGTAATGCAGACCCTGAGCTCCCTTGCCAAGTTCTAAACGGCCTTTAAACGCGCCCTCACAGGACGGCAGACCTTACGGTTGCTAATTATCTAAAACTTGCATCACTGGAACTAAAATTGCTCGGGGCGCGTCCTCGCAACACAAAGCACGAGAAAAAAAAAAAAAAAAAACGTACCACTGACGATGAAATTAAAAGCAGCGTGCACCACCTTACAAATGGTCACACTGAGAATTCTGAATCGTCTAAATTAAAAACAGATGCGCAAAATAAAACACGGAGTCACAATAACGATGCATCAGTCGTCTGCAGGGCAGTTTATTTATAAACTAACAAACACTGTATATCTCTACACAATATTTACAAAAACGCTCTGTCCCGGCAGCCTTCATTTTTTTCCTTTGCTCTTCAATTCAACAAACACTAGTAGTTGATGCCAAGCCGTTGCAGGGAGCAAAATTTATAACGTCGCACGAGGACAGCAGTTACACAACGCTATCCCAAGTTGGTAACATAATAAAAATATATATATTCGCATTTTCTCGTCAGCATGTAGCATAATTGCACAATCACACTGACCAAACAACAGACTTCGCAGAGTGAAAAAGAAACTCTGAACAACAAGTGCTGCAGAATACACCAATAAGGCATTTCACATAGCTTGAGACTTAAAAATAACGCAAGTTCAGAAAGAAGGGCAGCTAAAATGAGTAAACGGGAAAAAATAGAGCAGGTGTATAACAGCGTCGACGCTTCGCATGTGATGCCTTACGACACCGAAATGCTTCCCAAAAGATGATGTGGGAATAAAAACAGAAATTTGATTTACAAAAAAAATTGCAACAATTATCGGGTGAAGTCCTATTCCATTTCTAGTCCTGCAGTCTTCTTCCGCACCTCAATCATCCTGCCTAAGCTTTCTTTCTACTTCAGTGGTGAGAAATCAGTGGGTCGCATCCATCTTGACCGCATCTCTCGAATCAGAGGAACTGGAATTGTAAAGTAAAGGGAGAGGAAGACATCAAGGAGTCAAAGTGAGAAGCACACTCAAATGCAAATACACTTTGTGCATTAACCCTTTGTGAAACGGCCATTTGCATGCACTGTTGGCAAAGAAACGACTGTAAATGCTGAGCTAATGGCAAATTGAGCATTCTTCTTGGCTAAAGTTCCTTTGCATCATTACTAGTTGAAATACTTTGCCATATACAATCACTTGACAGTACCCCGTTTAATGAGATTGGACGTGGGTGTGTTCAGACATGAATTTCTAATAATCTCTTTATTATTTTAAGAATGCTCACTGCCAGCAGATAACCGCTGCACGTAATTTGAGCGATTCATTGAATTCGGTTTATGAATCACATAATAATCAAATAACTATATGTATTTATTCATTGCTATAAAACATTAACTTAATATAATACTTCCACATGCTTTAAATTTGGTTGCTAGATTCTTAATATCAAATTGTGCAAATTTCATGCGTATATACACATCAGTAATAATGCACTTCGCAAGGTGTTAAGTACACATGTTTATGTATGCCTAAAAACTGAAAATTTAGTTTTCTGTCCGCAAACCCTTTCTATGTGGTGCTGCAGGTGAAACTCAAAAAACCATTTAAATATTTCAACAACATAGACGAATCGTACCCATCATGTGCCATATTCTAGGTGTGTTTGCTCAACTCAATGACATTAAAGGTTATGCAGTCTTTTTTCAGATTTATGATTTTTTTTCTGGAAGTACTAATTACAATGGCCCCTTATATATATTGTGAAAGGATGAAGATGCAACCTGCTTTAGATCTATTCTGTCATGCAAGAAAGGAAGCAGAGAGCTCTGCTGTGGGATTTGTTCGACTATGGGCTTTTAACGTTTCTTGCTACCATAACTAAAGAAGAAAAAGGTGCCAAAACTATCAAAACATTTTTTTGCTCCTTTTGTAGAGAATTTTTTTTTCCGAGTAAAATGGTACCATCTTTGAAATTCGATGGGGTTCCTTTATTTCACTCATCGCACAAACAGACACAACTCAAAGGTGGCTTCACTGCATGGCAATACACTGAAAGATCTCAATAAATGAGAGCTGAGGCACGAATGAGCCAACATGGACAAGTGTGGCCACCTGGCATCATGGAACGCAAGGATGGCGAGTATAGTTTTCACATGTTCTGTGCAGACCAATTTTATTTTACGGGTACGGTCAAAATAGGTCATTTTGTCAAAATATGTAATGACTATACTCATTAACTGTAGCAAAAGGGTTAAGATGTCTACACCATGAGATATGATCAATATGTGCACCATAGTATGGAAATTGGGATGAACTAACTATCTGGAGTTCTATAGCGTGCATTAAAATTTAAGCATGTGCGAACTTTTTGCATTTCATCTCCATCGAATCCAAACTACCATGCTAACCAGCACAGAAACCATTTCAAGCAAGCAATGATGGCTAGTTCTGTTACGATATTCTGACCGAATAATTTTGATAGCAGCACCTGTACTAGGGATGGAGATGGCGACAACATGTTAATACAAATCTAATTTCTGCTTACAAAAACAAAAATTTGTATCGAAGGAGTAATATCTTTCAGTAGCAGAACGAAGTCTTCACTGTCTGCGTTGATAAACGCTGTAAAATTCTAACCTCGTTTCCCAAGATGCGTCTATTTTAGGCTTGTGTGAATAGTAAACTTTAGGTTCTAAACGAATGGTGATTTAGTCAAGTAATGTCAAATGAAGTTCGAATAGTATGTATCACATATTATAATGAAAAATGAGCACATTTGTCAAGACCAAACTAACCTGCAATGTAATTTTTTAATTGAAACAATGCATAAGTATATGTCACTTTTTTAGATTCAAAGCAGAAGCAACTTTGAATAGCAGTAGGATTTGACTTCCAATAAAATGCAAGTTTTGAAAGTTTCTATACTTAGAGCACATAAGCCGGTATAAGCAGCTCTTTAACTTAAAAAATAATGAATGAATGTGAATGTATTATGTACGTTCATTTAACCGTACAGTACAGATTGGTGGCAATGCAAATTTACCCCAGGGAGGTGTGTTCACGGTACAGCACCCCTCAACTGCAGTGAAACCACTGTTACAAAATATTACATGCGGTTTATACAATTGTTCGACTATCCGAAGTGCTCGAATATTCGCAAAAGCCTAGAATATTTACCTTAGAAAATAAGCAAACTTCTACAAATTCCCGTAAAAATTGCGCCTTACCATCGAACCCCTGTCAGATAAGCATGGTGACATCGGCCAGATACGCTTATCAAGGATGCCTACTGCAGCTAGAGACCAATATATCTACGTAACATTTCTGACTGCTCGCAAGTAAAGCTGCGCGACATTACATCAGCGACGTTCAACAATCAAGGCGCCTCACCTGTGTAAGCGACGCATTCATCCCAACCAGGTTTCCTCCAGTTATCTTCACGGATATCCTTTCGAGCCTGAAGGTCCTTGTATGCTGGAAAAAAGGGTCACAAAATAGTTGGATGCTTGCACGGAGGAAAGTTGCGACATTGTAACTTAATGGACCACTAAAACAGCTTAGCAAGTGCTTTGAATTCATGTGGAAAAAAAAACTGTGCATGCATTTAATTTATGCAAAAACTTTCAAGTAGCAGAAAGGACAAAGCTGGCATATGATGGGGATAGAGCGAATGAACTTGCAATATGAGCTGTCAATTTGCTTTATCCTTCAACTAGTAACAGTCGATCCCAGATATATATCCCAGAACTCGAAGGAGGTCACAAAATAGTTTGATATATTGATAATTCAATATAAGAAATATGCATATTTAAAGCTTTTACATTAATGCATTACAACTCTCGAAACGGCTTTCAGGAATCGTAATAAGCACTAACATGACGATTCGCTCAAAGGTGACAACTTTTGCCAGTAGCCGCACTTTATTTCACATGAAAGTAGTCTGTAGTTAGTCTCGCCTCTTGCACGCAGTCATGTTCATCATGTCATCCTCATTAATCGAGCATTGAAGCTTTCAAAATAAGCAAATTCAGCCCCTTGGTGCACAACAGCAGTGATTGACAGTGACTGTCGATGCGAACTCTATAGTGTGGAAAATGTTGTTGAGCAGCGAAGTTAGAATTTTCAGAACCGTGCATGTCGCCGTCATGCGCATGCATATCTGGTCTTCGTTCTTCAAATAACTTGTTCAGCGAGCTGTTCTTTGCGTTAAACTATTTCATGACTTCTTTTCAAATGCTCCCGCTTGTAACGCCTTCAAATCTTTGACTTCGTATTTTGGCCTTTTCGCTGCGGGGGTTGAGACAGCTGGGGCCGCAGGAGACGCAGGGGTAGCCATCCCAGTGTTGCCCGGTGGTGACGCGTGCGCGCTCACAAGGTAGACAACGAGCTCGGTGATAAAAACTGGCGAAAGCACGGCGACAAAAATGATATAAAAAAAACCACAAACTTTTCAAAACAAGCAAACAACAAGGGTGCAAATGGTACTGACCAAGCACAAAGATAAATAAATTTCAAAGGTACAGCGCAGTAAAGGTGAAGAATTTGACTGAGCCGTCTCCCACACGTGTTTGAACGCACAAGAAGAAAGGAGAGGCAAATCCTTCGCTTGCCTATCGCTGATGACAGTAGCGATGCACTGCCTTTCATTTTGGTTGTAAACCAGTGCTATGTGACAGCGGTGCCTCCAAGATGCAACCTAATTTCTACCTATGAAGGAAGTTTCGAATCTCTGAGGCCACAAACCGATCTCAAAGTTGTTTAGGTGCGCCGTTGAATCTGCTGCTGCTTCCCTGTACGACCGCGGTCGGGAGTTCAAATTGACCGAAGCGCGGCCATATCTGACCAAATTAGTCTGAAATGATGAGTTTTTAGTCGTGGAACAATGCACATTTTGAACGCGACCAGACGCCACGACCAAATCGACCAAAATTCCAAATTACCAGGGGTCGAATTACAGAGATTTTACTCTATGTTCGACTTTTAATACAGGCATACGAAAAAATACCAGTTCAAATTTTTTGAAAAACATCCAGTTTTGTCGAACTAGAGATGCCGCAACCACAATTTGATGCCATATTGGCAAAGTCGTCTTCACTGCGGCTGTGCATTCTGTGTAAGGCGGAAAAGAAACACAGGTTTAATGCACCATGAATGCAAAGCTATTGTGCCTCTCTGCCATTGTAGCATGTAGTTGAAACTTCACATGTTGCTCAGAGTGGTGTAACACTGATGTCATGTACACCAAAGCGAACTACTTGTTCTCCACTAAGCCTGATGAACACTGGTGAACATGGAAAATTGATCACTGGAACACACAAGAAAAATGGGATCGCTTTTGGTCTTAAAGGGACATAACAGGCAAATATTAGGTCATCGTTAATGGCCAAAATAGCAATCCAAAAACCTCATAGTGCTACTTTCATGCCAAGGAAATGCTTATTTTGAAATAAAACCACATTTTAGTGGTCTGCACTTCAAGTAACCTGCCTAAAAACATGCCTCTTTCACGTAGCAGTTGCCTTGCCCAACGTTGTTCACTTTTACTGGCAGCTCCTGACATACACAAATGATTGTAGAGAAATGCAGGGTCACTGGGCGATGGTGTCGACATTACACTGTGCACAACCACAGTCATACACACGTTCGTGATTGCCTATTGCTTTTGAGAAAAAATTTATTAAAAAGGCAACTTATTCGTAATTACGTCACTGCAACACATCAGAAGCAGAATGCACGACGTTCCTGCAATAAAAATTTCGTCCTTGCCTGGTTCAAGTGTGCCCCCCTAGACGGCACCACATATCCAGCCTAACAATATGAAAAACAGAACTTTTGAACCAGTCACGCCATTCCCCATGGTAACCCCAAGCCGTTCTTCTTTCCATGAACCGAACAAATGGAGAAGCATTATTTTATTACGTAATGTAATATACGAAAGCTTTATTTATTTATTTTTCTTCTGTTGGCAACTAGTTTGATTGCTGGTGAACGTAGTTGGACTCTTCGACATCATGTGATCATTTCAAAGCTTACAACCCATGACGCGTATGGTGTACATTTCCCTTAATTTCTTGATAAGTAGAGCACTGTTGTTGATAATGACATTTTAGATGTTCTCAAACTATGAACTTTTACTCTGGCGTAAATTTTTATTTGCCTTTAGTGTTTATTTAGATCACATGAAAGCCATAAGACGACTTGAATTGTGGCCTCTTTATTGGTGGTGGCTGAATTTTTGTTTTTAGACTTCACATGCATGTATTTCCCAAAAGTGTAGCGAGACCCGGTACAACGTTACAAGTTTTACATAGCAGTAGCGGTGCAGTGGGTGACTGCAAGGAGTTGACGATATAGGCCAGATAATTAAAAAAGGCACTGACACAAAATGTCACGGCAAAGATGCCTTGCGGGACCAACTCTCATGAACATGCGTGTATATCATGTGCAATATATCAACAGCAGTATCAGCAATATATCAATATACAGGAGACTCTCAATAAACAGAACCTGAAGAAACCAGTAAAACGTGTTTCGTTTAACAGGAGTTCCATTTACTGAGGGGTGCACATTGCAAGAATGAAACCAATCTTGTCAGAAGCACTTGTTCCATTTAAGCAGCAGTTCCGTTAAACAGATTTACATTTACTGAGGGTCTACTGTAGCTTTGAAGGTATTTTACATGAATTTTGAAGTTTTCAACTGACAGCTATACACTGCAGCTCGTGGTATTGACCAGGGTTGTCAGTGCTGGCTACTTTTCGCCGAATTGGCGAATTTGAGAGGCCTGTGGTGACCTGAAGTTATGAATGGCAACATAACGAATTTTTGGCTATTTTCGGGTTAGGTCTTGACTGAATTATACATTCCAGTTTATGCCTTCAAAACGAATGGGTGACATTTTTTTGTTCTCTTTTTCATAGTTTTAGACCTACGGGCAGAAGGCGCACTTAAGTCATGGGCTTCTTTGAGCAGTCTTTAGGAACTGCAGTGAGGGGAATAAGCATGCCCACACACGAAATGTCATGCGGGTATTGTGACGGTTACGCAGTACTTTAGAATTTATTTCTGTTGCTTTGTAATTAAGCTCTTTTATTATCGAACACATGATTCCACTGAAATGAAATCCTCTAAATCTGCTGGAAGGATTCGCCCACCATCCCTCTCTTGTTGTAGCAAGTGCTTAATTTTGTATTTGCTGCAATTGAAACCATCAGGAACTTTTGTTATGAGATGCTAGCATTCAAAGATGCTGCTATTGCAAGGATGCCCTTTCTCAGTGCTCTCATGGTGAAGTGCATGATGTGACTGGGATTGAAAAACGTCAATATATTTTGGTTTTACGGATGGCCACATACTTCATGGGGCTATACGTAATTAGGAAAATATTTATGACTAGGCACATCACACATATGTAGAGTAACAATTTTCTTAGAGAAATTTAAAAAAAAAGTGACTTTTGGCGGCATTTCACTCGTTTGGCGAATTTCACTCAAAAGTCAGCGGCAACCCTGGTATTGACCTCATCAAAAGTGACCCCACAGTCTCTTTTACTTCCTTCACGTCACCATGCTGCTGTCGAAACAAAAATTGTGATGACTTCATGGCCGCCATTTTTCTTTTGTCGCATTTTCGCCAGCAGACTACTTATCAGAGGCTGCTGGCAAGCCTGCGGTGCGCACATTGAGAAAGGACTTCTTGATATAAACCACGCGAAAGTGCATCGCAGTTCTGTGCGCTGATGTGGTCAAGTGTTGGACACACTGGGTGGCGATAGTTGCACCCAGTGGCTTGTTTTTGGAACTCTCTCAAAGCAAAACTGAGCCCTGTCGACAATGAGCAGCCTGTAACTACCGTATTTACTCGCATAATTTGCACCCTTCTAATTTATGTAATTTACGCACCCCTAATATTTAGACTGCTTCACTAAAAAAGTAATTTACTCGCATATTTTGTGCTTCTTGACCTGCTCTAGCTAGCTTAGCGGCATGCGCCACGAATAGACTTTAGACCTCTGGGTGCTTTGAACAGGCGCACCCTTCACTGAGCAGGCGAGTGCAGACATACATAAAACAGGCTGCAAGTGCGAAGCCTGTAAAATTCCTTCTTCCAATTACTTTCCCCTGTTCCAAACCTGTTGACAAGTTGTAGGAACTACTGAAGCGTTTGCCTCCCTCTATTTTCCCATCTCTTCCACTATGAGAATGCAGGCTCGTGACACGGCACGGACTATTTTCTGCTCAGAGGCGTGCAAGGGCCCCGTCCCCCCTTGTTCTCTTCGTCCGTCTTGCAATGCATCTTTGCTTAATTTCAAATGTTTAGGTTTCACTATCCCTCCATTGCACTTTTACTGATCCCTTGCAAAGGGCTAAAATAGTTATACATACCGCAAAATTCAAGCTCGCTGCTATAAAGTTTGCCAAAGAAAACAAGAACAGTTCCGTCGCCAAGCACATCAGCGTGATGTTCTTCAACGTGTGATGTTCGGTACTAGAGAAAGCAGAAGAGTGCGCGCTTGCCACTACAAGTTTCCTGCCATAGAAGAAGACCTTTTCAATTATGTGCGAAAGCTTAGGGTCCCCAGAATCACCATGTCGTGGTACCTAGTTTCTCCCAGCATTGTCAAGAAGAGCTTCAAGAAAATGGGGCATTCAAACACGCTTGCGGGAACCGTGTATGACGTGTTATGTGAGGGAGGTGGTAGTGGCTGCCACGATGATTCCCAATTGGACCTGTCGGCCAGTGATTTCGGCTACACTGTGCATGACCATATTTGGCTGGTTAAAGCACGTGCTAGTGCTGCTAAACAAGTACACTTCATTCTTGCTCCTATTGCTTTTATTTTTTTTAAATGTATACATACTATATGCTTAGGACTATATACCACTGCAGAATATTGGATGCCTGTGTGCAAATAGAGCTTGGTTAGGCAATGAGAACATATTACCCTGCTTATAAGAGACTTCTCATATAAGGGAAAAGTACTACACCCAGTTGCACGTCTCTTATGGAAAAGTTAAACTGTAATACATTTCCGATAGCGATTTTCCTGACGAATTTCTACGTTTTTTTTTTCCTTTTCTTTTGCTCCCCCCCCCCCCCCCCACCAAAAATACTCGTTTTAAACCAAAGTGCTTGATTTTGAAAACTGTCTAGTTGAATTTTCCACTGGTTTGGTCAATAGTGGCTTCCAGTGGGCAGTTGTGTTGCCTTCAAGATTAGAGCTTGCACAATTCTTCCAGTTTCCGAGGCGATGCCCGCTCTTCTTCAGCTAGCAAAATGCCCCAGAAGATGTATTTTTTCCTGCCAGCCTAAATGTCATCGTTAATATGCCGTCAGGATGGTTTTTCTTTTTTGTGTGCCTTTGTTTTTCCAGTTGTCATTTCGCATGTGGTCCTGCAACATTTTTGCGAGGTGTTTACATTATCTGCGAAGTGTTTTTGAGCTGTCGCATGTCACATGTTTCCTGTTGCAAAAGTAGCTCTGTGGTCACGGTGCTTTGCTAGTGACCTGAAACGCACGCAGTTTCAATCACGGCCACGGGGGTCGCGTTTCGATGAAGGTGAAATGCCAGAAGCTTTCATATTGTGCGATTTTAGAGCAGGTTAAAAAACCCAAGCCACGTCACTGAGTCCTTCATACCATACAAGACACTGCATGCATACTTTTGTGACCAGCATCAAATTTTGTTTGTTTGGTGCCATGAAGCCACCGACTGTGCAACCCAAAACTGTCTGCAACAGCCATCGCTGCGCTTACGATGCTACTCTCTAGCCTGAGGAGAACCCAATCTGCTCATTCCTAAGCATAGCAAGCAGCAGGGGGTTATTGGAGTGTTTTTAAACTGCTCTAATCAAAATAAACTTCATTTCTACGTTTTAAAAGCTTTTTCAGACTGTTCAATTTTTCGGACAATCTTGTGGTACTCACCAGGTCTAGGAAATCGGTTAGCGATTGTATTGTGTGCTATAGTAACTGTATGCATCCTCTTTGTCTTATAGCTGGATGACGAAGGTGTAACAACATGCAAGGACCAGCCAAGATGTTCAGTGGACATTGAGGCAACAAAAAAAAATAAACAATTACCTAGAATTTAATTTAACCATGGTTTGCTCAACTGAAATGCTTCGCAGTAGTACAAAATAAAAAAAAATCACATGCATGTGAAGTATCATCAGTAGTCCACTCACTCCAGATATGGTGGACCATGTAGAGCTGGCCAATCTGGGAAAAGAAGCCAGCCACGGCATTGGCTCTTCTGAATGTGATGCCTCGAGCCCTGCGAAGAAGTTAAGTAGCCAGCGGTGCTTTAAACCCAATCATTTGTTCATTGTCTTTTGATGCTCTCAAAGGGTGAAAAAATACACAGCATGGATTATATTATCATATAATATATATATTATATATATAATATATATATGTATGTATTGAAATACAACGGTTCAGCTGACGCTTTATTCAAGCAACAGCAAGATGGCGCCGATGATGAAGAAGAACGGGGCGAAGACTGATGATGGTTATTGAGAGATGAGGAAGATGACGTCCAATGAATTCTTACAGTACATATATATATAAGCTCATATTATCAGTGTCTTAGCATAGCCACTTATAATATGAGCTTCAATAACAGTCACATGCGACACCTCTCAGAGAAACATACACAGGCAGAAGAAACGGGACATTTACTGCTTCATGAAAACAACTTTAATGCTTAGCTTCTAGTGGCCATGAATAAGGAGAGAAAAGCCCTGGGAGCATACAATAACTACCTGTTAACTCCATTTATATATGAAGGATTTCAAAAACTATTGCAGCGGGAGATTCGTGAGGCAAAGAATGGCAATGATAAGGTCGTTCTAGGATAACTTAGGAATCTGTTGCAGGACCTCTTTAACTCTGCAGATTTAACTGCATCCACAATGAACAGAATGAATGCATTGAGAGGGGTGTGCCCAACACTTACCAATTGTTGCCCCACTCAATCATGGTTCCTGGCTGGAATGGAAAAGAAGCCACTACCATTAGCAATGCTACAATGCATGCAATAAGGCACGGTGCCTGAAAGAAGTATGCTGGAGAGAACTGTGGGATGGGTTAGCACCATGCAGTTTGACGTGGAGGAGCGGCGACTCCGACACCTTACAACGCGATAACTTGGGACAAGCATTGAAACGTAGGCATGGTGGTTTAGCTCATTACTCTGCTCTTCTCTCTCTCTCTCTCTCTCTTTTTTTCAGGGTAGATAACAGCCTCTGTGATCTACTGTGTGGAGGCAAGTGCGGGCCAACAAGCTATTCGTTAATTCATTGCACTGGCATCGAGGCCGCTCCACAGTGCCGCTGTTGTGGTTGATCATAGTGCTGCACAGTCACAAGTGCTCTGGGCCATACAACTTTTGGCACTTGCTCACAACAGCAATCAAGAGGGCTATGAGTACCATTCTCCACGAAGAATAAACGAACTGTGTGGCGAGATAAGAGTTTTCAGGCTTCTCGAGCTTAAGGTGGCCCGGCAGTGACGACTGCAGGGTGACCAAAGTTTTCACGTGCAACGCAAAGCTTCGCAGACTGAAGCCTGGATGCTTTCTGGAGCTTTCAGCACACGCGAATGAACTATGGGACCTGTTTCCGCTAACATCACAATGAATCGTCACGCAAAAAGCTTATCTTCACTTGGGAAACAGAAAAGATGAGGATGCACTGTTGAGTCCAGTATGAATTCATATTTATACTGGACTTTCGGGTACCCTACTTTATTGCATGGACTCGGGCATCTAAGTTCATGAAGAGGGCTGGCTTGATGATGCCTGGGCACGAGCAGTCAGTCCAGCAAGTGCTAATTCTTGTTTTATAGAATTTGCTTGAATTTCATTTATTAATTTATTTAGTGCACAATTTTCAAGGCCTGACGAATTCAACTCTACTTAAAATCATGTAAATAAGGTAGCGACATTAGAATATCTGATGATATATTTAGCCCCATCAACAATTAGGTCTTTTGCAGTGTTTCCATAAATGGGCTGCAAAGATACGTAAACTTTGGAGCTCCATATGCCCATGCACTTCACTGAAGAGCAGCCAACAAAGCATGCTAAGCAAGCCCCATGGCATGTCAAGGTGTTCTAGTGCAGCATTCTATATTCACTTCACTACAACGTCCAAGGGTATTATTACTAAAAAGAACCAGTTGTCTAATTCAGCATTAACTTCATTTGTAGCTCTCACACGGTAGTTTCTAAATGATGCATCATTCCAAATGCTACCACTTCATAACTTTGGGACCATTTTTAAACACATTTTCAATAAAACAGCCCAAGCCAAACGGGAGACTGACAACGGTCTCACCTTGAGGACGTAGGAGCGTATCTCGTACATGCCCCCATGATGCTTTGGCTCTGGATTGCCCCAGAAGCTGAAGGGTAGCATGTACTGGTTCTGGCGTGCCCTTAGGTACTTGGACTCATCCCTCTGAAGCTTAACAAGGTCCTCGTCTGTGTTGCACAGGTTAATCGAACTGTGAGCCGACCGCCAGCCCTGCTTGAAGCGCCAGATGTGAACTGGAGAAAAAAGAGACGACAGAAAGGCATGGAGTAGGGATGTGGATTGTGACACATGCGTATTATCTTGAAAACTAAACGTAACTTCACAGTCCCCGATTCACACAAGCAAGTACTCAAGACCACACCCCACATACAATGCTTGTGGGATGGTCGTGAATACCTGCATGTGTGTGTGAATGAGGAAGTTCCGAGTAACCAATATACTTATAATGAGGCGCATTGTTGTAGGAGATTCCGAATTGATCTGACAGGCTGGGGTTCCTGAGTGCAAGCCCAAATTTACACACACGGCCATTCTTGTTTTTTCACCTCATAAAAATGGGGTAGCCCTGGCCGACATTTGAACCCCCACGTCCTGGTGCTTAGCAGCAGAACACAATAACCAAAGTGGATTGGAATAACTTCCAACTGCCAGAGGGTTTCCAAAGTTCATCTAAACCGAAGCAGATGCACACTTTCCAATGCAATAGTTCTGCCACTGCTGCTGGGATTTGAACTTGCCATTTCATGCTCAGAAACAAGATACGACATCCACAGAACCACTGCAACAAAAAAGTCAATCCTTAAAACATCTAGCTGAACTACATGAAGTACAGCAGCATGAGTGTTTCAGTAAGCATTTGCATTTTGCTCTTTCAGCTTGCTACTAAGTATATAACATGATGTGACAGGACCGAACATTTTAAGAATATATCAGAGTGTCAACTGTGCTAGTGGTAGGGTTGCTGATGCATTACCTTAGGTTTAAAGCAGAGACGATAACAAGAACGCTCAGCGCAGAGTTGGTAGTCAACTGTTGTCTCGGCCAATCTGAATTCAACTTCCCAACAGTGAACAAGGGCACTCCTGTACTCTTTCGATCATGAAACTCCTAACAAAGTTTCATATAGGAACAAAAGCAACTATGAGAGGTGCCACATTGACCTAGTGGTTACAGTGCTTGACTACTAAACCAAAGGTAACGGCCGCAACAGCTAGCCAATTAAGTGTTAAAGAACCCAAATAATTTTTTTCACTCTGCTGACTGAAAATAGCAGTGATAAGTGTTAACAAAAAAAACATAAAATGTGAGTTGTTAAGTCCAAGTAGTAAATTGATAGGCCCATCCCCTTTATAATGTCTATAGCACTTGTTGCGGTGTCCATAACGGCGGATGTTATGGTGTCTACGGATTCTCCCAGCTACCTTATGCTGTGGCACAGCAACTATGAGTGCCATACGACGCTCTCCCATTGCATTATGCAGGATTTGCCCGGCCAGAAGGGAAGCAATAAAAAACACTGATTGAACTAACGATTAGGGTTCCAATCGAAGTCAAGTGTGCATTTTAGGACGCGGCTATGCCTTTTTTACGACCGTTTATTTTTGTTGAAGCGCAACAGCCATGACTCAAGTGTAAGAACAATGTAGTGAAGAAGCAAACTACGTACGGTACTGGTCCTGATCACCAATCACCACTTGCCAGCTGCCAATCAGCTCACAGTCAGATGCCTTGCTCTGGAGGAGTTGGCAGTAGTTTTCACTGAAAGAAAAAAAAATGACAGCTTGAGTTGTTGCACTAGTCTGATGTGATAGTTGTGGGCAATAACTACAGTGAGGTCCATACGTAGTTTTCACGTGACGTCACAGACGGGTCCTCGGAGCGAGGTACGTCCCCATGGCTACCGCCTTGACTTTTTTATCTCATTAGAGAGTGTCCCGAGGTTCTTTTGTGTTGCCCCGCTTTCTTTCGTCCACCAGCCGGGCCAATGATGGGTGACAAGAAGCAATGTGAGCGGGCAGTGGTATTAACCTGATGTCATAGTTTCTTGCTCCGCACATTCGGGTAAGAGTTCACCGAGCATCTAAACCAGCTTGCACTACAAGATGGCAACCATGGTGAGATCAATGAAAACTGTGCATAATAAGCTTCATTCACATAGCATTATGTTCCTTCAGGCAGCACTGCACAAGAAATTGAGAAAATATTCATGTTAGGCAATATTGTTCCCTTCAAAATTTATATGACAATATTTATTTCTTTTACTCATAACAAAAGAATACAAGTGTAACAACAGAATTAAGGCCTTTAGTGAGCAAGCATTCAAGTACAATTACAACGCTACTACAAGCTACAATATTCGAACTCCCCGAGGACGTACAACTCAACAATTTTACTGCGCATAGCTGCTCTTGCCACTTTTTGGGGAGGTAATCTTCAATACACGAGCACATCCTGTTTCTACATGTAGCATATGATTGTTCCTCCGTCCTTGCCATAATTGGCTCGAACTCACGATAAAAGAATTATACGTTGAGGTCACCGAAATGTACTTACTATCCCTTAAGATACGGTTGTACTCCGTCCGGCTTGACATCGTGAACTGCGCGTACAAACAAAAACGACGTAAACAAACAAGGATGACGAACGAACACCAACAAATGATAACGGTAGTAGTCGCGGTTACTTACTCTGTAATTCGTAAACGATTTCGGTGTCAGACAGGAGCCGGGAGTGGGAATCCTTGCCGGGCTCGATTTTCCGCACGTGCAGCAGCTTGCTCAGCCATCCTTCGGAGCTGTTCACTTGCAAGCCCGCGCTAGTGCTCAGCGCCCTAAAGATAGGGGGAAAAAAAGGCTTCCGTCGTTGCCAAGCTAAAACACAAATCGAGAAATACGGCTGAATATTGCGCAGCAGACGAAATAAGTAGCAGTTTTGGTGAGCCTGTGAGCGCCAAAAGCGGAACAGTAAGGCTAGTCGGCTGTGTCGCCGCCTCAGCTGTGCAGAACGGACGGGCGGATCGCATTTCTTCTTAAAAACACGGGGCAGCTGCCATTTTAAACGAGAAAAGTAGGCTAGTAATGACACCACTCAGCGTTACACTTCTCAGTTAGTTGGGTAAGCGCAACGGCCTCATAAGCGACCATTTACCCCGCTCCGGATTCACAACCGGCTGGTTACGTTACGTGTTAACGAACCCTGCAGTTGATTACGTCGCCGTTGTTTTATTCGGCCGCCCACGGTCTTCGTGTAGCAACGTTTTAGATAAAACAGGGCTTCTTTTCGCCACCGGATGGACTAACTCGGTGTTATAAACCGTGGCTGCGGAGACTGCACGTTGGAAATCGCAGGTAGGTCACCTCTGGCCGCGGCACGCACCTCCATTCAGAGGTGAGAGGAAAAAAAAACACCGCCGCCATACTTCATTGCGGTGACAACAGCGAGTCTACAGCTAGCTCTGTAGGCCGCTTCGCGCCAGTGCTGTCCAAAGCAAGCCCATTGCTTTCCTACCTTGCAATATGGGATCCTAGCGACAGCGACGAAGGCGCTAGAAAACACTTGATTCTGCACAGACTCGCCATCTTCCCATTCTCGGCCGCCCAAAAGTTCTCGCGAAGTCTCGCCAGGACGGTCGAGAGGGTGAAGGCGACTCCAGTTGCCTGGCAACCAAGTTACGTCAAAGCGTCCCGTCGCGGTCCCGTTATCTGAACGGCAGCTCTCCGGCTTCCACTTTTCCGGATTCGAACGCACGGAAAAAGGAGCGTGAACGGCAGTTACGGCGCCACTTTAAATCGCGCTGAATGTGCGAGCTCGTTACTGATTTTATTTCCACAACGTATGTGTCCGTTTTCCGCAAATCAAGCACACAGCTAGAAATAATTGCTAACGCCTGTGTCAACTTCACGAGCATACTGATTACGTTGCTGTCACTTTCAAAATATATGAAATACATACAACTATCCCCATTACTCAATATTTTTTCGGGGATGTAATAAACTAATACTTCAATTGATATCAATTAATGTGCCAATTTAGTTGGATTGCGGCACGCGAACGAATAAAGTTATTTTCACTCACTTACGTTCCCTTTAACTTATATATAATTTAACAGTTACACACCTGACGTTCATTTGCTCCATAGGACCAACTTCATCAATTAGTTTAAACGCTTTTCAACACGAAACAGTGTGAAAAACTCACGGTGCTTGAAAACCACTTATACGATTAAATATCCTGAAAGGCAAGTACAAACACTGAATAAAAACCGAGATCGTCCATGCCTGGAATACAGTAACGTTGCGCGGCGCTACCGACCAAGCACAGCGTGCGGGTCAATGACCTGCGGACAATTGTTCAGCCAGATCACGCGCCTGCGCTTAACGTGTTGGATTATTGATTAGTGCTACGCGCAGTGTTTTGCACTTCCGTCTCTCAATCTCACGGCAACGCGAAACCGGAAGCTTCCGCACGGCGGTTTCGTCGCGCTCCAATTCCGTTCAGAGCGCGGAAGCAGACGACACATACGCCTACGGAGACGCGTCGTCTGCTACACGGATTTGTCACCGATGCCCGTCAACTTCGTGATCACTTGCCGCCGGCGATGAGCAAACACCACTAGCTCTCCCAAAACGAAGCCCCTGATGTAACCATGCCGCTGTGGAGGAGGAGACTTGCCCTGTGGATACGCGAGAACCCTTATTTCGCCCCGTTTTTCTTTCGCCTGACACTTAGCTTAGTTCTAGTTCTCTACCTGAGCCTGGGGGCTTCTGTGTTCATGGTTCTAACCACCGGCGAAGAAGATTGGGACGTTTCCACCGTTGCCGAGCTTAGAAACAGGACCGCCGAGCGTCTGATTAGCAAGCTGAAGACGCTAGCATCTAGACGCGAGACCTGGAATCGTGCCGTGATTGAATACCTGGTTGAATACGACGACAGAATGTCCGGCGTCCGACTACAGGGGATGCTACGCGGCTGGAACAGATCCGTGGTCGTTTTCCGATGCCATGCTCTTCTGTCTGGTCCTTTTGACAACGTCAGGTAAGAAGTTATTATTTATACAACATATACAGCGCTATTTTGTGAGCCGTACGAGCATGCAAGGAATAATAAACTGGAGACAAACGCTGTGGAAGAGTGGACGCTCCCACCCACAACGCATCTCAAATGTGGCCTGAGAAACTACGATTTTTGCTAAGTTTGATTGCAAGGGCATTGCCAGGATTTTATTAGCGAAGGTGTGTGAGGGAATTGTGTAAGGAATCGCATAAGGTCGTCAACCCCTTCCCCGAAATAGTTACTCATTTTGAATATAAGTAAACGTCGCTATAGCCAACTTAAATATAATTCTCGATACAACGAAGTATTTCACTTTTCCTAGCTCCATGCCCATAGAAAACTCCTGCTTTTCTAGCATCAGCGTCGCACAACTGTGGGATACACCAAAGGTACTGATAATAGGCCGCTTAGTTATCGCCTATATTACCACAGTGCACCTAACCTGCATTTGTTTTGGTTTCACGCGCGACGTTCGGCAGGCTGCGAAGAGTTCGGCCGCCGCAGCATCAAGTCGCGGTCGCCGGACCTCAGTACCAAGCAAATTTTTTGCTCATGATAGAAATTTGACTTTGTACTGCTGTGTTGTTCATTCTTCCAGCCCTTCTTCAGCAAAAGACAAAGCTTTTACAACTATGCTTTGCTTAACAACGATTAATTTTAGTTGAACGAAGTTCGAACTTGAATCGCCAAATTCATCAATATCTTTTATCGATGTTCAATTTCCTCTTATGTATACGCGCACAGGTACGAACACACGCACGGGCATACAGGTCCAACCCCTCCAAGGAATCTGAGTGCCGTGTCGCAAGAAATGAAAAATAAATGACACGTACGCCGGACAAGACAGATAAGACATCAACACTCGCAAAAAGAACCGACGTACTTTGACAGCAGGAGAGAGGCCACGACATAGGCATGTGTTTTTGCTCGTGCGTACGTAGGTTAGTTGTCTATATCATACAATATGACTAATGATTTACCTACCCCAAGGACAGTTGCGGTTACGTATAGGTCCCTCCATTGCTTCGTGTAAATCCGCTCGACTAGACTGACATATCCGGCGGTGTTGATGGTTAGCACATGCCAATACGTTCTTGCGATAGCAACTATACATAGACGATCGAAGCGCATTTTCGCCATCACCAGTCATGTTCCGTATAAAGCCCAAATTGATACCATCGCCACGCGCGTCCCATGATCAACATATGCACTCGAAAGCTTGCGGACAACTACATACACCTGCGGCTCAAGCAGAGATGAAATGCACCGGCTGGTTCCGTCAAGGAGAGGAGCATGAATGGGTGCGAAGGTGGGGGGAGTGTAGAACAAGTACTTCACATGTCCTCTTACCGCTTACTTCGCGATGAGGCGACAAACAGCACGAAAATTGCTTCGCTTCTTGGAGTGGCCGTATTCCCTTGCCAGAGTTTCGTAAGTTAACCAGATCGGATTCAAAAGAAGTTATAACTGTCCAACTTCGTATAGCATCACTATTTGTAGCAACCAGCATTGTTGGTTCGCCCTTTGGCAAAACTGTGTGCCGCCCCCCCCCCCCCCCCTTTTTTTTTCTCTGCACATCATCTCAATCTGCAGGCATTTGCTCTACGCAGGTGGTTACGACTACGCCAAGACGTCAGCCGCCGCAAAGGGAGCCATCATGGCCTACATCTGCTTCGGAGTTCCGCTCTTCTTCGGCTGGCTCCTGCTGCACGGCAAGACAGTTGCGCAGACGTGGCTATTGACGTGTGTGAATGCCTACCGGCTCCTCGCCGGCCTGAGAAAACGCTTCCGGAGTGTTAGTCCGGGAACCGAGTCGGAAGACGGAGTTATCGCACCACTACCGTCAACAATGTTTCGCCCGGAACTTTCGATTGTGGCCGGTCATCTGAGCTACGCGCAACTCGCACCCAAAGAGCACAACAATCGAATTCGCGTCGTTAGCGTCGGAACTCCGCAGGGTACGACCGTTGTGGTGAACCGGCAAGCGCTGACTGCTGCTTCCGCGACGCTTTTCGGCGCATTCCTCCTGTACGTGCTCATCGGTGCCGGTGCCTCAACAAGCTCGGGACAGACTATGTTCGACGGTCTATTCTGGATCTTCCTTCAGTTTACGACGACGAGCTCAAACCCTTACGCGACCTTCGGTACGAGCCCGGGAGCTCGAGGAGGTTGGGCGCTTTACTATGCCGTGGGAGCTCTTCAGCTGGCAGCTTTAGCCTACATGGCATTTATGCTGGCTACATGGAGATGTGCGTTTTGCGCCAACGGTTGGACGACACACACTACCCAGGCTTAAAAGAAACCCCTACACGCCACGCTCTGCACCAACATACGACTTTTTTTTTTTTTTTGTTCACGATGCCACGGCGCATGCGCAATTCCACAAGCGGGTAAGTCACCAAAAGCTGTGGAAGAAAGGGTCTAAGAACGCCTCTCAATCTTGGAGGTTTTTGTTATCGTCATTTCGGTTGTCTCAGATCACCCCGCAAGCCCCCCCCCCCCCCCCCCCCCCCCAAAACCAAAACAACAGAGGGCAGCGCAAACAAGAAGAAGGGGGGGGGGGGGGAAAGAAAGAAAGAAAGCAAATAGGACGGTGCAAACCAATTGGTTTGAGCAGACCTCCTTGGACTATTGAAGGTCTTCATATTCCATGTCCACGGTGTAAAAAAACAATATCTTTCAATTCAAACTCAACTATATTTGCCGCAATTAGATAACGTCGCACCTCCACGGTGAAACTCTGGGGTAAGTGTCATGCTGGCAGCCGGCAAAGAAGTTTCTGCCAAGCCAAGCAAGTCGAGATTTGCAAGTGTCCAATAGTACTGCAACCTATTTCCCAAAGATCAGTATTGAGCTGTTTGCTGGCTTTTTGCTCTTTGACAAAATACACTGTTTATTCTCACGAAAAGGAGAATACATACGGCTGTGCGGTAATGAAATGAGCGGTGTACAGTTGCAATGTTTATACAGCAGCAGAAGTAGAAACGTTTTTTAATTGACAACGCATTCAAGAGTACTGAGATTTACCCAAATTCAAGCCAGTAGTCATGGCATGTTGTAAGTTTACACCACTCTTATTGTCAGCTCATGCAACTGTAAACCCTTTTATACTGAAAAAAATTTTTTAATGTGCCAATTACGTTGTTTCTCCACAACAATATCTTCTAATAATAATAATATCTGGGGTTTAACGTTCTAAAACCACCATATGATTATGAGACGCTGTAGTGGAGGGCTCTTGAAATTTCGACCACCTGGGGTTCTTTGACGTGCACTCAAACCTGAGCACACAGGCCTACAGCATTTCCGCCTGCACCAAAAATGCAGCCGCCGCAGCCGGGATTCGATCCAGGTAAGCAGCAGAGTGCCTTAGCCACTAGACCACCGTGGCGGGGCACAAAAATACCTTCTCTTCATCACTCCAAAAATTAGAGTTACTGGCTGGAGTCATCTTCAGTACATGTTTGAAAGATCACATTACTTTACACAAAGCCATTGTATTGAACCGACCCCCCACAATTTTCCAAATATATGGCGAATTATCAGCAAGGCATATAGTAGTATAGAACAAAATGGACAAATGGGTAACCCAATAAATGCATGCAGTCCTGTGAAATAAACATACTGCCACAATGAGCTGATGCATCTCTTGTTCATTATCAAAAGAATACACAAGTCTTTTGGCACATTAAGTTCTCGTGCCTTTTATGCAGTGTACCTAACCACACCAATAAAGGGTGACTGAGTATCCACAACAGACCAGGCACTTGGGAGATGTTACAGCTTTTCCTTTCTCTGACTGTAGACTTTTGCCTCCTTTCGAACAATATGATGATGCTAAACCGGTATTTCACCATGCCAGTACTAATACATTATAGATATAAAGGGGTTCACTACCATTCCTTTTAATATTCACACCACTACTGCAGTGTGGCAGCTTGGGCTAGTTGGTATAGCATGACGATAGTTATAGCGCGAGAACAAAACGACGACACAGAGACAAGAAGGACACGAAAGACACGTGTCCTTCTTGTCTCTGTGTCGTCGTTTTGTTCTCGCGCTATAACTATCGTCACTACTGCAGTGCCACAAACATAATACATAACAAAACGTAACCTTCACATGGCTGTGAAGGTCCTCAAACATTACAAAAACCACATGGTCCTAGACCATTTACCTAGACTGGAAGGTGAAAACCATCTTAGTACTTCTTTTCCAGTCAGTCGATTCTATTGAAGACAATTAAAACAACACACTGACTATGATTAAGAGCAAATAAAAGCAAAACAGTTCTCCATACAGGAGCCTTGTTCACAAATGAAAAATGAGTGTGTGAGCAGTACGATTCATATGTATGTTATAAAATGTGACGTAAGCAACGTGTGTGGAAAGTTTACACCATTTCGATTGAGTGTGTGCGCCATTGTATGGATTGTGATAGAGTCGAGATGAAGTCAAGATGGCCAGTTCTTTTCTCTTTCTGGTATTTTTGCATTATACCAGTCTATTCAGTGTCCAGATGTTTCCGCATACTTGGCCAACGCATCTGACGAAACCTTTTTTTACGTTGTAAATATGCTGTTTCAGCCTTTGTGGAAAATTACCAGTCTCGCCGACGTAACTGTATTGTGGTCAATGTGTTGTTTTAAATGTCATGTCCGTTCCTGACCAGACCGGCTACTGCGCTCAACTATTGATTTTAGTCAATTCTAGTGATTCCACCCGAAGCCGTTCCACACCCAACGTGGTTTAGCAGCGTCTGCATGAGAGATCAGACCAGTTTTGATAAAGCTATGATGTGATGTGCCGACATAACATTGATTTCATGAATATGGAGACCACGAAGACATCATGGGTTGACATCAAGATGTGATCATCTTTTGCATCACTCTTGTTGGTGTCGTTGACAGCCACTTTTCACTTTCAATGGTATGTTTAATGCTTCTGTCAATGGCCTCAATGTGTTTTCTTTTATCTTATATCAGTTGCTGCAAAGCCATTTTTACAACACTCCGTGTTAAAGCTGATAAACACACAGAACAGCATTCTATTTTTTAAAAACAGCACTTTATTAAAACGCTACTAAAACACCACGTAGAAACAGGTCTGCCCGCGACAGCAGCCTCAGGTCTCGCTGAGCACAACCGCCACAGCACAAGAAAGACATTCGCGGACTTGTGACGTACAAGCAATACTGTGTACAATGATTGGAGACGCTCTCCGAGTGTAACAACATCACACAAAACATCTCAACCGTGACAAGTGTAAAATAGTGGCTACACGTGTTTACAAAACAAAGAGGCACTTCACAGCATGTTTTTTTGCTGCCCCTAGAAAACATAGAGGCACCATCCGTTAGCACAGGAAAACATAGAGGCACCATCCGTTAGCACAGGAACTCTCAGCAGTCGCTGACAACAAGTCACCGAGATTTTGCATGACACAAAATGCAGTGAGACAAGCATTCAGGAAGGGTCGGCGCACATGGCAAAACTTTTGAGATTGAAAGTTTACAGTGCGCACATGAAAGTGGCATGGCCTCTAATCACTTTTAGAGTAAGGTACGTCTTAACAATTTGGCTTCACATGCGACTGCCACACTGAGGGAGCAGTAGAAGCTGCATACAAAAGTGGGACAAATACATTCACAAAGGTCTATTAATGTTAAAAAAAAAAAGACTGCCCTGCAGCAATTATTCTTCACTGTGCACAGCAACAATATCAAAAGCACTGGCACTCTTTGTATAGTTTTTATAATGTACCATTGTTACAAGACCTAAATAAAACTGAGAGCTGGTTTTGTCGTGCACCTTTCGAAAACATCTTTTTCGGAGCACGCCAACAGAAGCAATGTGGTAGCAAACAAAAGGCATGCCTCCTTTATTTTTGACAAGTGCGAACCTACCCTTAAATTATTCTAAAAATGCCCTTCAAGAAAACGAACTTAACATGACACCCTGCTTCACAAGTCACCTTGAGATTCTTGCAGGATAGTCTGTGAAAACACACATCCCTGGAGCACACAATCCGATGGGCTGCATCACAGTTTCTAAAACAATGTCAGCGCTTCAACAAATTCGATCCTGCAACTATAGACAAACCTAAGCATAACGATCACAACACCAACATTCCAACAGAAAGACCAGCTGACATTTTCTTTTGACTCACAGTAACTATATTGGAATAAGAAATGCTACAATGATGACAACAAACAGGAAGTCGATATGCTTTGGCTTTGACTGGTCTCAAACCACAACAAAAAATGAAATCCGTCTAGCTTTTTTTTCTAAGCTGGTTTGGTCTTAATGCGTTTAACATAGTAAAAACATAGTACAAGCTCGATATGCAATATTTTCACTGTATTCTTGAACGATGCCACCACAGAATAAACTGCCTAGATTTTCTGAAGTTAGTTGTAGATTTGCCACGATATTGAAGTAGTAATTGACATATTTTGGAAGCATTCCACGGACATTCCTGCAATGAGCATCTACTTAAAAACAGTTGCCATCCTGCAACACCTCTGTGCAGACACCGAAGGAGACTGATCCTTAGGTTTGAGTTGAGGAATATTTAAGAAGTGCTGGTGAAGCACTGCCATGGCTCGAGCTGAGTTTGCATACTGCTTCCAACTTTCTGGAGTCAAAATAATTAAGAAAACAGGAGCTATCGCTCTCCTCTACCTCCAATCAATATGATCACAAAAGATATTGGCTTTTCTCTCGACCAACAGATTTTTTGAAACACTAAAACGTGTAAGGCAAACATACATTTAACGAGAAAAAAAAACAAATTGCAACCGGACTAAACTATTGAAACATGACCTGGAGAAGCAACAAGGATTTGCAACAGCCAATAAGCACACAAACAGGTCTGAAAAGCAACGGCAAGTACACGAAATGAACTTCAGGCTTTGCACATTAAACTGGCAAGCTTAAAAAAAATTCAACACAAACCGAAAGAAAAAGGACAAACAACTGCATACTTACGCGCATTGTTAGCAAGACGATAATAAGCTCTTGACTGAGTAGCATCTTTGATTCTATTTCATGGTGATTTAAAGTGTGAAGGATTGTATCGATACAACATTTGCTTAAAACACTGCACTTTTAAATGTGAAACTGCTCACATTACATAAAAAAACAATTCCGAGGAAGCAGAACTCTGGCCACAGTGAAATTTTGCTACAACTGGGTAAATGACTATTCCTTTCACGTACATACGATAAGCCGTAATAAAAAGAAATAAGCCGGAATCATTCTTTCTCAAAAGAACAGTTCAAAAGCTGCACAAGCACGCGTTAGCTAAATCACTGACAACTGCCTACAGCCAGCAGATTCTATCTTAGAAAAAGTTAGTCAATAGGGTGAGTAGAAATGGTACAGGAGATAAAATCATGGAAGGTTGCATGGAAGTGTATACAAGTGGCACGAAAAGTAATTATGATGCCAAAGTGCTGGACAACCGCACTTACACATATCACCCTGAAAAATCGCGATCCATGGTAAAGTACTGTGGACCACGTTAGTACAACTATCGTCGTAGTCATGAGCTCATAGCACTTCGTTCATATCAAATCACACTTAAATTAAAAAACACAGCGACACTGCACTCTGGTTACTTTTTTTCAGTCGTTTGTCCGTCACCATGTATGACAATGGTGGAGTGAGTTCTGTATTTTTTACTTGTTCTATTTCTCCTGCTCTTCACCGCACTGTGGCGCTGTCAATGTCCAACCCTATTGATGTGTCAAATACCACTATTACGATGATACTTGAGAAATGCAGAGAAAGGACGACCCTAACTATGCCTTTTGCACATAAACCTATATTATATATATATAGAGAGAAAGAAAGTGCAAAGAAAAAAAGACCTAAATTCTGTAGACTGGGCTAAAAATAAAACTAATAAAAAATTTGCAGTGAAAAAAGCCCTACAGCTGTTAAATTGCACATAGCATATAGTACAAAGATAGTATGCTACCAAAGCAAAAGTTAGTGAAACTATAAAAGTGAAACTATAAAATAAAGAACACACAGTGAAACAGAAAGTGTCGTAGTACATATCAAGATAATAACAATTAAAAAAAGAAAGTTCCTGAACCATTCACTGCAGCCAGCAGGTTCAGATCTCAAAACTGGTATATCACAGACAGTTGAGAGATTGTCCCTTCTCCTGTCATTTTGTATCAACGATTTAGCAAAGCAAAAACAAAGGATTACAGTGAGGGATCTATAGAAAGAGTAACCAAAAAGCCTTGTCATCACATCCTTATCTGTGTCACACCTCATGAATGGAAACTGTTCTACCTGGCTTGTGTGTAGTGCAAGAATAAGAAACCGGCGATCTCAAACAATTGTTACGTAGTGCAAAGAAAACTGAACTCTATATTCCTTGGCACTGAAGACGACGAACCTTCCGTTGGCAGCATCAGCTGAAGATGTAAGTGGGAAAGTTCTTTCGTGGAATGCTAGCCGAAAGAATGTGGCACTCTTTAATGAACATCGACTGAACCGGGTTGTATACAAGCAATCATGCTGAAGAAGTGTTAACTTCCTGTTTCCAAATATTGCACGACTATGATGAAACTGAAGAAGAGGCTATCTGTGCACGTCACTACGGCTTTTAAGACTGACTCTCCTCCCTGCTGTGAAGCAGGTTACATATTATACACTAAGATCTCACACCTACACTTATGTTATTTAGTTTTCAGCCTCCTAATACGACACAGTGACCCTTTTGCAGTGCAACAGTAATCATTGTTTCAATGTGTGTATGCCTGTTTCGCAGAAAAAAATGAAAACAGCAAACTTGCCGTGTCAACAGCCACAAGTCCTTTCATGGTCCTAACACGTTCAACATACACCATATTATGTATCAACATTAAAACACCACAATAGTTTTTTTTTAATACTTCAAATTAATTCAACTTAACACAGTAGATGGATACACCTAACGTCAGTCATTGAAGGGTGAATCAAATGTAGCAAGACAATCAACACCATGACCAACACGAATTCGAAGCAAGACTTTTATAAATTTCTATAGCACCGAGTGAAACGTCATTTAAACCATGCAACCGTAATTTAACAAGAACACTGTATGCCTGTATAACACTGTATGCCACTGTATAACGCTGTATCCACTGTATGCCACTGTATAACGCTGAACACTGTATGCCACTGTATAACGAGAACACTGTATGAACACTGTATGATCAATGTATCTCGTGGTGTGTATAATTGCGACACCTACTTTGCGTCTATAACAGCTAAACCCTGGTATCTCGTATGAAAGCGCTCTGCGTGGTCAATGCAATGAGTGTGCATGTGATCGGTCATGCACAATTAAAGTGATATAAGAAATGAAAAGAAGGCTGTGCTTCGCCAAAAACATAACTGCACTTATCTCAGTTGCCGTTTTTTCCAATACGGAAAAAAAAGTCAGTGACACAAACAGTGCAAATGACACCCCCAAATGCTACAATATGACAAATAGAGCTGGTAGTTCCTGTGCAGCCCATAAAGCATCCACACACAAGATGGGCATTCACAAACCTCCTTGCACCACTCCATGCAACACCGGTGCAACGATGGGGCGACCCTGGCTCTGCACCAGTAAGAACAGCAAAAAGAACATCTTGCCACCCCTGTGTACCTCCAGGCAGCCTTGCGAAGATTGCAGTGTGCTCGCAGCAATCTTTCACTGAGACGGAATTCAATTATGACGAGGATTGAAGAAGAAAAAGCAACGAATGAAGTCGCGAAAGCTGTGTGCTCACGTCCTCCGCGCTTCTTGGCAGCTGCTGTTGCTGGACTGTCGGCAGATAAGCTCACCGTACTTGATGCGCTGACCTTCCTTGAGCTCAAGCGAGAAGTCCCGCGGTGCTTCAAAGATGAGCACGATGGTAGATCCCAGATTGAACTCGCCGAAAGGTTCGCCCTTCTCGACGTGGATGCCCTCGGAGTTGTGGTTGGACTGGAAGCACTGGTCGTTGAAGTTGTGCTTCTTGTACTTCCGTCGGTTGGTCACGAGGTTCTGTTTTGGGATTCAGTGAAGGAATAGAGAATGTAAATGTATAGAAACTTCGAGACAAACGAATGAGTAGGAAAGGCAGCACAATCGAAAATGTGCCAGGAAATAGCGAACAAGTAGCAAGATAAAACATAGCACAGCCAACGCTTCATAAAAAATTCCTAGAGCGTGAGCCGCGAACGCGCTGCTCTAGCCTCCAGTGTTACCTTCCTTCTTACAGGCGAGCACCTGTAACGGCTGCCCCTTACAACCACGGCAAAGCTCTCAAGATTGCCTCCGAGCAGCTGGCAAGATAATGTGACCCGACTAAGCGGTACGGAGGCAGGTGGTTGCACACGGCGGTTGGTTGCAACACGCAGCTGGTGACATGGCCTCGGAGATCACGTGCTGGCAGGAGGCTCCCAAGGGAAAAGAGAGCGGCGTTCCAGGCATAGTTTTTCTAGGAGGCGTTGGCACAGCATTTTTTCACGCGAGTCCGAGACTTTGAATGAGAGCATAAACAAAGCTAGTCTGGATGAAGACTATATATAGCTGCAATTAACAGAATTGTGTACAATACTTGAGAATAATAATCAAAATAACTGCTGGCGTTTTATGTGCCACAACCTTGATATGGTTACGAGGGACACTACACGAGAGGGCTGTAGAAATTTTAATCCCCTGCGGCTCTTCAACATGCACCTATATCTAGGTACACAGGCCTCTAGCATTTTGCCACGATCAAAGTGTGGCTACAGCGGCTGAAATATGATTCCATGACCTTCGGGCTACCAGTGGAGCACCATAACCACTAGACCCCCATGACAAGTCAAAAATTATAGAAATAAGGAATGGAGTAATTTTGGAATTGCAGCATGCTTACTTTTAGCATAAAAAGGAGCTCCAATTTGTCCTGTTTATAGTCATTATTTTCGGCTGTTCAAAGCTCTACGTTTGACCACCACAAAACAGAGCTGCCTCACAAGTATAGCATGCATGAATTTAAATGCAAAAGCAAATTTTTTAGTACAGTTGGACCTCTTCATAAGAGACAGTGATGTACGAGATACTCCGGGTGTAAAAGACACCAGTGTGCGAAGATTGAAGTAGGTGTTGATAAGGAAATGTATATGTTGTACCCCGCTCATAAAGACATCTCCTATTATAAAGGACAAGAATTGCTCCTTGGTGCCTATCTCTTATAAAGAAGGGGGGGGGGGGGGGGTGTTCAACTGTGTTAACGACTGGTATATGCAACTGCTCCAGATACAGTCAAACCCCGCTACAACGAAACTCACGGGGCGCGGAAAATATTTCGTTGAAGCGATAATTTCGTTGTAGTCAAATCGAAAAAAAAAAAAGCTGATCTGAGCTAGCAAAACAAAGGAACGTTTATTTTTAAATGAAAAAAGTGTCCGCTGCTTCCTATTCTTTCCCAGCAGCATCAAGACGCGATTCACAGTCATGCCTAGCGAGGCCATAGTGAAAACCATGCTGAAACAACGCCTACAACCGCTTTCGTAAACGTACCAAACAGTTGCAATAACACGCTAACACCAGCAGCCGTCCGCCGTTATGTGTATCCGACAACGCCGAGATGGAGGCAGGGTATCGTGGAGCGGTGACTTTTGCCTTATTCTATACCATTCTTATCATCAATCACTCGCGGCTAGCTAATTTGGTTGATGATGCGGATGAACAGCGGCTCTGATTAGGTACCACACTGGTCAAAAGCGAATAAAGTTATAAGCATTGGAATTGGAAAAGGCATCGCTTCGCGGTTGCACGCAGCAGCTACTGCGTGAAAAAAAACCATGAACTGAGCGACTGAGCTTCAGCTTCGGATCGTCTGCAGCTCGAAAGCAAGCCAGTGGCAATAGCAGGGCCATCCTCCATGCAGCAGAACAGTCTCATTGCCATCGCTATCGAGCAATAGCTGCGCCCATGCTTGCTGAACAGCGGCGGTTTCTGGTGGTGCCAACGCGTGTTTTAGACTATGTTGACTTATTTTCAGGTTCTCAAAATGCATCAAAGTGTTAAAAGATTGGGTTTTCTGTAAAGCAATAAATATTTGAGCCTGTAATTGCATCATGAAATTTCGTTGAAGCGGGGTGGCAAAAGAAAGAGTGTTCGTTGTGGCGACAATATTTATGCATTGACTCCTATGGACTGCTGATAGAGAACCGTGAATTTTTCATTGTAGTGGAAATTTCGTTGAAGCAAAGTTCGTTGTAGCGGGGTTCAACTGTAAATACGTCCTGTAGCAACATCTGATCTTTAACAGTAATGTTCACTATCAACTACGTGTTTGAGTCAAAATTACGCCGATATTACCTGAACTGAAGACTGCGTAAACGAAAGTATCAGCGTTACTTAGACCTGAATTGTTCTGTTTCAATACATGAGCACTGTGCATCATGCTTCTTGAGGTTATCCAAAACTGACTGTCTATAAGAGTGTCTTAAGTTGACAGAACTTGTCAGCTCCAGAGTTATTCAATCATTTGGGTTGCGAAACTGCATTCCAAAATCCAGACATGCACTTGGCCCAATTTTTTAAAATTAGGCTGACGTTCGCGCTACCTGGAAACGGCAACACAAAGCACAAATAATGTGTTTAATAGTGGGCGTGCGTATCAACAGGTGACGTGACAATCTGCTCACTTCTGACAGGGGGAGGGGAGGGGGTCAATGACGTGTACAAATTTGGATACATGGAGCCTAAGGCGAGTTTCGCAGCTCATATGATTAAATAACTCTGGTCACCACCATTATATCACTAGATGTCAGCACCATCACTTCTCATGTCCGGCAAGCTTGAACGCCAACTCACATTATCGAAGTAAACCTTGATGGAGCCGACATTGGTAGCACCAACAGCAGTCATACTGAAGAATCCATGTCGCCACCGACCCATGTAGACCACACGCTCATTCATATTGAACAGGCCGGCGATCCAGTTGACTACGCCGGGCCGCACACTCAGAAGAGTGCCTGCAATATAACAAAGGTAAGATGAAAATTCTCAAAAACGCCCGACCTGTGTAGAACACGCAGAAAAGTCACAGCATAAACTGGAGGAGCAGCCTTCGTAAAGCCTGCAATAAACTGTTTTAGGGCACCTACAGCAAGCACAGTTGAGAGGCATTTACATTACTGGCATCTGACACTTACATTTATCAGGATTTATTTCGTACCACAATATTTCTTCACTACCTAAAGAAACTTTTCTTGATAATCTAGTGCCACAAGCCCTGCTGTTCAGAATGCTACTATGACGCTCCGAATTGAGAAATGCTTGCAACATGAGAATCATGGCAATTATTGCTGCCGGACAAAGTAAGCCTCAAAATTGGTGTTAAAAGAAAAGAGAGTTATTTAAACCAAGGTGTATTTTGAAGTAAATTACACAATATGCGATATGCACTTTCATGAGAAGCTGAAGCACTATAAAAAAAAAGTTACTTTGGAGCATGTAAAAACAGTTTGAACCCTGCTGAATTTAAAAAGCAATGCGAGACTTCTCAAACGTGAACCCAAATACACTCAAACCACATTATCATGAAGTTTCATCCTAACGAAAATATGCTCATTATATCTGATAATTCACTATAAAAGTATATTTCAAACATTATTTATTGCAAGAGTATTCTTCGTTTACTTTGATATAACCGCTATTCCATTATATCCAGATTCGTTATATCGAGGTTTGAGTGTACCACTTTTTTGGGAAAGAACAGAGGCTGTGGCCGCAGAGCTTTTTGAGATGCTGAGTAAACGTGGTGATGCCATACTAGCTGTGCCGCATTATCTTCAACAGCAGCACTGCTAAAGCATGACTTCCTCCAATATCTACAGCAACGGAATGTCACAAGTTGGTCGTGGATGCCATGGTTGAAGATATGGGAGACACTTGTTCACGTTGTGCTTGGCTGTGTCGCTGTCATTATTCCGGATATCGCAATCCAGCTGCAGAACATTGGGCTTCGCTATATTGACTTTTGCCTTCATCATATGAACAGAACTCTCACAGTTCGGACCAGTGAGTGCCGGGAACCTTCGGTCAAAGTGCAGTATGGCTCTGCCAAAGAAGTCGAAGGTGATGTAGGTTTGCCCGCCCACATTTTTGGCGAACTCGCACGAGTAGAGCATGACGCACTTTTTGCTAACGTATTCTAAAGCTCCTACTGCAGCAACTGCACAAAAAAAATACATCCCGGACAAAAAAATTGCGGCATACCCACGAAGTGAATGATGAAGAGCGGCCGAAGCAGTGGTGTGAAATAACTGGTCAAGGCATTTGAAGAAACAATACTGAATTTACATTATTTAAACATAGCAGTTAGAACGGTCCATGGCGGACGCTTTATTCTTTCTCTTCTTTCTTGAGAGTTCACGCTTTATTTTCGACGGCTTCTTCTTCATCCTCTTCCCAAGGAAAGACAAATAATCAATATCCTCTACCCACCACTGGTTAGAGTGTTGTCGGCTGGCATAATCCCGATGCTCTCCAAGTCCCTGAACCTCCGTAGAATATCGTCGGTAGAGGCAGTCGTAGTTAGTCGAAAGACGCATACGTTGAGAGCTGATTTCAAAGAGGTGTCAAAAGAAAGTGGTCTTTGCAACATCCATCCAAAAGCAGAACCCATAGCCATTAAGCTTTTCTGTCCATGGTACCGCTTCGTCTCTCCCGACGATTAAAAGGCTGATTCCTTTAACTGCAGCCATGCCCGGTATCACCAATTCATCAGCAAGGAGTTGACCGCCGATTTCGATGCTTCTGACAAAGTCATGATCGACTGGTACTTGCACTACATCCTTGCAGATGAATGGTACTTTAATGGCGGTTAACAGGTACTCCTGGGTGTTATACTGACTGCTAAGCTTCAGTTCGACGACACGATGTTGTCTCGGAAGGGAACTGGTTTGTCCAAATATATTTATCTCTAAACTAACCGATCCAAGTTCTTTCCATCCAAGCGTCTGGGATACAGCTTCACGAATAAATGTACACTGGCTTCCGCTGTTCACAATGCCACGAATATAGGCCTTTTGCGTTTTCCCCATGACCCATGCCCTAAACGTTTGCAATAAGACATCAGAGTAAACGTACAAATGAAAGCTGGTATGCAGACTGTTTGCAGTTACGGAGCATTCGTGTTCTTTCTTCTTCGGTTTCCACTTGGGATCGCACACTGAAGAAACTTTTCTACCTCCGCATCTTCTGCACTTGACTTTTCTGTAGCAGTCCTTGGCTAGATGCCTTCTTATGGTGCATCGATAACATCGCTTCTCGGCAGCCAAATTCTTCAACTTTCCTTCATGGGTAATACTGCTGTCACAAACTGGAGTAGCGCGCTTTGTAGACCCACAAAACAGACAGTCATTATCCTTAGCTTTCGACGAACACTGCATGACCGCTGCTATTGGTAGAGCGGCGTTCAAGTTCCTTTTCTCTTTAGGTGGACGGGCTACTTTCTTTCCTTTAAATTTATGAGCTTCACTTCTTTCGCGGCTTTCAACTTCCACGTGAAAATACGTCAGGAGTTCTTGCAACTCTTTCTCGGCTGTGGCTGTCGATGATGAGTCATGCTGTTGTTGTCCCGAGCCTGCATTGTCTGTCATAGATGGTGGTAACCTTAGGTTGGCTTCTTTCCAGTAATAACAAACGACGATAACTGTTGGCAATGCCTTCAAAAAAATATCCGTCATCATAGTTGCATAACTGGCAGAACTGACGTTTAATCCTTTCAGACCTCTGATATGACACTGCACATAATTCAACAGCTTTCGAAGATTGTAGACATCTTCCGAAGAATCAACTGCTGGTAGAGCGCGCAGTTGGCATAGATGGTCCTGTACAATACGCCGGTTATCTTCGCAACAACTTTTCAAAATCTCGATGGCACCATTGTAGCACTCGGCCATCGCTTGCAGCCCAGAAATCGCGGCGGCTGCGTCCCCTTTCAGAAGAGTCTTTAGATATTGAAACGTTTCTAATTTTGTCAGGTTTTCGTTTTCCTCAACAGCGGTCCTAAACTGCTCCCAAAAAGAAGGCCAGTGGTAGAGCTGTCCATCGAATGTCTGCAGCTGGAGAGTGGGAAACTTCATTTTCTTGTGCAGTGTGCGATCCACGGGCATCTGGGATGGTCTTGCACGTAGAGACTGCGATGTGGTAGGACAATGGGTTTGACGCAATTGCCACTCCCGAGCCTTCAGCTGTCCCAGCATTTCTAGTGCAGCATCTGGATATGTCAACACAGCTTCAAACTCTGTAGGGAGCTCGTCTTCTGGAATAAACTCTTCCAGCTCGGCATTGACTTTATACAAATATGCGTTGTTGCCTCGTAGCCGTTCAATCAAAGATGAAATCTTTGCACTGTCAGCCCTTTCCATCACGGCTTTGGCTTCATAGATAAGACACGTATTCATCTGTCATCGTGCCGTTCGCTTCTCTTTCAGTGCTCTGACGCGATTCATCTTGCTTCAACAATGCGTGACCATGCTCACCTCGATCGACTGGTCTGTTTGCTAGCACAGCGAAAAGCGGCGACATATGTCCCTTCAGGACTTCCCTTCTGGCTTTCTTCCAAGGTAGCCGCTGTCCTCACGATGTGCTGTCTTCCGTTCTAATGTTCCCGATGAGCACTGGTAGCATGTGTTGTCCCGGTGAGTACTCCGGATGGGTTTCGGCACCCCTTTGTGAAATAACTGGTCACGGCATTTGAAGAAACAAGACTATATTTGCATTATTTACACATAGCAGTTAGAACAGTCCATTCTTTTTTTCTTGAGAGTTCACGCGTTCTTTTCGGCGGCTTCTTCTTCTTCTTCATCTTCGGTGTTTCCGTAAATCACCCGTCACATTGACCGCTCACGTATGTAATTGAATGACAAACCAGTGTATATATGCAACGTTTATTGGTCATAACTGGTATGTTGTGTAGAGTACTAAATTTTGTTTTGCCTTTATTATTACTGCTTTGTGGATATAGACTGAATTTGGCAAACACGAGGTCTGGGCACTTTTTCCTGGCGGTTGTTGGTTACCTCCAGTCATAAGAAATGCATCGTAGAGCATATCTAGACGTCATCTACTGCACAAGCCAGTCGTTGTCTTTGATCATCATTGTCTACATCGTTATGGCATCTAGTGGGTACCTTACCTTAGTGTGTACCTTATAGAAAGAGAATGTGTGGTCTGGAAAGCGCTTGTTCTTCGTTGTCATCCACATCATCGTCATCGTCAGCTACGCAATGCCAACACCAAGCAACAGACAAGCCTTCACCCCTAAAATCTTGCTTCTAGCTGACCAGGAAGTTTTAGTCAATTCTACAACCTCTTCTAATTTCCTTTAAAGGGCATCACAACAATACAGTACCGTATGTTCCCGGAGTTTCAAGGATGTTTTTGAGAGTATGAGCGCCCTGAATTGTTAATTTAGTAAATGGGTGATCAACAAACCTGGAAAATGCCTCCGGTGCTGGACCTCCCACTGCACGGGGGAGTGAAAACGGTGATAATCACCAGGAGCCAGGTACACCACGCAGTGATACAAATCTGTGTCCTTTTGCTGGAGAAGCTTCTGGTGATACTCCTCCTCACCCTATAAGATAAGTAAAGATGCCATTCTCACTTTATTTCATTTCAGGAAAAATAAAAGAATGGAGCTGTTGTCAATAACTGCCATAAATGCATTCACAGTAGAGTACACAAGATAGATTACGTAAAACTCTGAGCTTCACGGGAATATTCAATATAGTAGCAGGGTTTAGCCAGACGTCAGAGGGATGAGGAGTACTCCAGTTGGAATTGGCAGTTCTTCAAAAATGCAACATTTATTTTAGAGTCTCTCTAGACTACACGCCTAGAGAGACTCCAGCTTATTTAGCCGCCCTGCTTAGAGTTCATATGAATTTAACAGGCAGCTATGCCAGCCAGTGTTCACATTCAGAAGAGTAGCAACCGATCGATCAGGTGTTTACACCTCAATACAAAAAAATCCCACAAGCTTGCTCCACCCCCCCCCCCCCCCCTCGTAAAGATGTTGAACTCGGAAACAGTAGCAGACCAGGCAAAGTTTTCGCAACAAGTTCAGCTTAGCAATGTTCTGGTGCAGTTTATCAATAATTCACAGTACGAAGAACAATATTCACTAATGCAGTAATAGATGATGACTTACCAACACTAGACAACGAAGTCTGCCATCAACTATATTATGCTATCAACTCCTTGGCTTTGTGTGGTGCTACTAAATACTGGGCCCACCTCTGTTTCTCCATTCCTCTCGTTCACACAACAAGGCAGTCGGTGACCAGAACGAGCTAGCAACACTCACATTTGTGTGTAGACAGTGTGGATCCCAGGGGTGAGGCCCGAGGAACCTTGGTAGTGAGTAGGTGATGCCTTTCACCTGCTCTGCAAAACCTTTCTCAATGCGACCAAAATGTAGAACGGTGCCATCGGCTGGGCTAACCTGGAAACAATCATAGTCGCACATCATTTTGAGAAAAAAAGTTACCATATGCAATCTATATCTACTATGCACATGATCAATAAGTGCAAAATGCTTAGCAGGATAGCTGGGTGAGCTAGTTAGTAGCATTCACATATGCGACTTGCTCATATATCAGTCACAAGTGAGAAAGCTTGAATCAATTAAAATCTAGCTTACACCTAATGGGCTAACAGCTATGATCCTGTGAAGGTGCATCGATCTTCATGCGTGCAAAGAGTGAGCATGATTCAAATGTAAATTGAGTCTTTGACTGATGTCATTAGCTTTCACATTGTAAGGTGTTTGTTGTCAAATGCGTTGACAAGAGAGTGATCTATATTACAGCGGGTGGGCTCGGGAAATTTCTACCTCCTGGAGTTCTTTAATGTGCACTCAAATCTGAGCACACAGGCATACAGCATTTCCTTCTCTATTGAAAATGCAGCCGCCGCAAGCGGGGTTCGATCCCATGACCTGTGGGCAAGCAGCCGAGTACCTTAGCCATTGACCACCGCAGCAGGGCTATAAATGTTTCTGCTGTGCTCTAACCCTACTGATGCTTCCTGTCTACATTTAGGTACAGTACTTTTCTACAGCTCAAATACTTGGACTGAAATTGTTACGTACCTGTATCTTTAGGAATCTTTTCACGTAAGCATATAATCACCAAAATTATTTCCACGTACTTTTGCTACACTTGCTCATTTTGAATATATGAACAATCCTGGCATGAAAGTGCACCTTTACATTCTCATGTTTTCAATACGTACTATGAACTTTAACATGCAAGACAAAAGCCTGTGCTAAAAGAAAAGTTATTTGTCATGTCAGAGACGGTGATACACAGGTGTTTTGGTGTCTTTACAAGTCATCACCATAATCAGCTTGACTATGCCCACAGCACGGCAAGGACTCTCCTATACTTTTCCAATCAACCCAATCCTGTGCTTGCCCTCAAACTTCTTAGTCTTATCAGATCTCCTAACTTTCTGCCTCCTCCTCGCAAATTTGCTTTCTCTTGCAAACAAGTCTGTTACTTTTACAAGTTCTCATAAGTTATGTATCATGTCTAAATTTTTTTTCCCCTTTGCAAACATCCTGTTCTGATTTGAAAACAGAAATTCCTGGCTAAAATTGCCAAGAAAAGCTCAAACCTCCAATTTCAGCCGTTGCTTAATTTTTTATTACTTCCCGAAAAAAAGCATGCAACAGCCTCGGTATGCATAAGAATCATTTCAGCTTGCAGAAGTGCCAACATACCACGCAGTCGCCTGGACAGAGAGGTCGAAGACCTGGCTTGAGGGAGCGTCGGAAGAACTCCCCCAGGTTTCGATACTGCCGCAAGTCTTCGACTTCTGCCTCATGCACGTCGCACCTGAAGGCCCACGCAAAGAGGCCCAACACTGGTGCGCGAAGCCACACAGGCAGCTCTATGTCATTGGCCCAGCCCCACCACCGAGAGGCCATGCGCAGGGGCAGCATCCGGTAGAAGGACACCTTCATAACAGCACGCAATGAAAAACAAAAAACAATGCAAATAAACTTAACATTTTATGATGGGAAGACGGGAAGCATCCTAATAACCAAAGGTTTGATGTCATTACTCCTTTACACTGTGTACAGCACTCAAGAATTGAAACGAGAAAATGAAGTTGTGTTTACAAATTCTATTAAATACGTACAGTTTTGTATATTATTTCAAGTACTTTTATTATTGAACTAACTAAATGCAAGAACTTGTCTTTCTTGTGTTATTCATTTCATACTAATAATAAAGTGAGTATGATTATCTGTCTTCAATAAATTATGACAACAAACGCGGGGCCCAGCGAATATAATTTTGTTAGGGGGGGGAGTGTACCTCTCTTCATGTATGCTCGTGCATGTATATGCGCACGCAAGACCGAAAATTTTTGACGGAGCTCAACTCTTTTCTCGGCTAAGCCAGTACAACCAATCAGTTCTAGTGTGGGCATTTATAAGACGCTTATTCATCACCTGTACATAACGTCCATTATAGAGTATCCCGAGTCTGTTCAGTGCCTCAGATGTGACTGGTTTGGCCACCTCTTCCGGGCCTAGTAAAGACGTGTAAAGCACTGCGTCGCAATTTATGGCAAAGAAGCGTCTTTTAAATGCCCACAATACATTTAATTTTAAATAAAGAAGACTCCCTTGCACAGAAACAAACACATGCACACACACAAAAAAAGGAAAAAAAAAGAAGAAAAAACTAGAGAAGTCCCACTCTTGCAGCAAATGATCAATGTTAGGCATTCTCAGCATACTGAACTTTCAACAGCACTTTTACCCCTTAACGTAAAGTGAAATGAGAGGTAGTTATTGTAAAGAGGAAGGGATGTTATTTCCAACAGCCATCTACAGTTAGCGCTATATCAGCATAATCTGGACTCGAACTCTTACATCAGACCCAACGTTGCCTTTAGCTGTAAGATCGCAACGAAATGAAGCAGTTATCACGAGCAACTGCTGATAGCAGTCGTCATGCTAAAAAAAATTGATGTCTCATTTCAGTTCGCGAGTACTGCACATAGCTTACAACAGACTGCTAGTACAATAACGGCTTGTCAGAGACTGTAGAGGTGTCAGAGACTGTAGAGGTGTCAGAGACTGTAGAGGTGTCAGAGTTTTTATACTACGGCAGCTCGAACTACCATCATGCCTTTACCTCACTATACAGTTTCAGAGTACCAGGTATGGGCGGGCTGTGTGAAATGCTGAGTATACATAGATACGATTAAAAAAAGCACTGCTTACTTCTGCGCGAGCCTGTGAACACCGACATATGCATACACAATCTCCTCCCCATCCCTTAATCTTATCTTGAACTTGCCTGCTGCCCAATTCACGCAGAGTTCTGACGAAAGATTCATAGTAAGAATACTTCTTTCCATACAACATCCAAAAACTACAATATGGTTATTATGAGAGACGCTGTAGCAGAGGGCTTTGAAAATTTTGACTACCCGGAGTTCGTTAATTTTTGCCTAAATCTAGCACAAGGGTTCTAAGCATTTTGCCTCCATAAAAATGTGGCCACTACAACTAGAATTTTATCTCGTGACCTCCAGGTCAGCGACAAAAGATACAGACTCAAACTGTACGTACTTGGAGGCCAGAGGCGACGGGCTGTGGACTGCTGTCTTCGCCCCCTCGACCGCTGCGTAGGCTTCTCAGGTAAGCCAGGCAGGCAAAACCAAGCCCCAATGGAATGGGCATCCACCGCAGGCCTCGCAGGTACCGGTTGGTACCAAGTGGTGAAGTGCTCCGCTCCCAGGCCGGTCGTGGTGACGACTCACCTCCATCTGCCCCAGAGAAATAGTACCACGCTTAGAGAATGCAATCTTGGAAAAGTTGGTACTATGTCATTCAGAGAAAAAGCATGACAAAAAAAGGCTGCAGGGGAGCAGGAACAACAGAATAGAAGTGAAAGATTCAACCCCATTGATTCTTCCACCCTTTTTCTTTTGAACCACGCTACCTGGTACCAAGGTGCTGGCGCCAATTAAAGATAGAACGGAGCGTGGGATCGTAGACGTCTTCATTCATAAAGCACATGATAAGTGCATTGCTCAGCCGTCGTTAACCTTACATAAAGTAGGCATAGAGTACCTTGATTATTACATCCTCCTGCTTACATAAAAGGCTCACTTAAAATGACTGCACCATGGAGGTGCGAAAGGGCTTGCCACATAATATCCAAAGCATTCACTTTTCTTTTTATGTGTCCTGGTTTAACTTGGAAAAAGAGCCGTCAGTGGTCAGTTCCGCTTATGCTGTCACCTAATTATTCATGTTCTCCTCGTTTTCGTGCATGCTTTTTTCATGACTTATGCACCATGCTCACAGTCTGTCGTCACTACAAATGGAAACAGGAAAGATAACATGCCTATAAATAAATGCACATACTGTTAGCTATTATGCACTGCTCGAAATGGGATAAAAGGACGAAAGAAGAGAAGCAGACAGGAAGAGAATCGGTTGCAGGCAGACAGGTGCGTGGCAAGTAAGTTCTCCAGATTATTAGAAGGTGAAGGAAGGGTTATGCAAGAAAAAAAAACTGACAGCCACCTGTTTGTAATAATAATGATCATTGCTGGAGGTTTCAAATGCCAAAACCACATCATGACTATGAAGTGCATGCATCACAGTGGGGGACTCGAATTAAATTTTTTTTAATGACTTTCAAGCAGCAAATTTCACAAAACATTAGGCTACACACTGCCACTGATCACAAATTGACACATAACATAAAAATTCCATTCACTAGAAAGTTTCCTGTTAACAGCACTGCATGTGTTACCCTTGTAATTTGTCTAAGTAACGCACATCATCGTCAATTTCAATGATAGAGAAAACAGCGCGAGTGAAAGCATACAAACCAACAGTGTGCAATGCTAAACAAAGCTCAGATGAAAAACAGAGGATTGCTAAACAGAAGAGTGCCCAAAAATATTTGAACAAACAAACAAAATAGGAGTCTGCTGAAGTGTCACGGATGAATACTCTGTGAATTTTCTCTGACGAAAACATCATACAATAAATGTTTCCTGGGAGACATGCAAAAAGGAAGGCTTCATATCAAGGCCTATTTATTCCATGATAAACACATTGCACATTGAGCTCACAAGTGTTGCGCAACAGCTTCCTGGAATTGTTTGGTGAACAGATACGACTTTTATAGGCTATGGCAGCATGCCACCCATTACACTCGGTTTTTCACATTCAGTACGAAGTACTGCACTGTCGACTACATGCCAAGCAGCAGACTAGTAAGCCATCAATTCACAGTACAATTTTTTTACCGTCATCCTCCATCTTTGTAATTACACAAAGTAGTGCAAATAAAGACTCAATGTGACTTGAATTACTTGTTATCAGTCCAAGTTCTGTGCAATCATGCACACATGCAAAGTTCAGCTAGTAAATCAACCAATAATATAAATGCCATTTTCTTCCTTTTGGCTTGTATGTGCAGCACTGGTAAAGTTATGGCATAGCTTAGAATTAGGACAATAAAAATTTGCAACAAAAAGAAATCTTCACAGAGTTCTCAGTAGCAAAACAGTATATGTGGAGAAACAAAGTAATTCTTCTAGGTGAATGACATTTCTACACAATCAAACACCTTTGGAATGTCAGCTCCCAATAAACCTATTTGGAAGTAGCAATGATGTTATTGACTTGAGAGAGGGCAAAACTGGACTTTCAGTGAGCCAGTATGACACTTATAGAATAGAGAAACAAAACATAGTAATGTTAGCACATTACACAAATAATTGATGAAGGTAACATGAAATGACTGCAACTAATATATAGTTTAATATTCATTTCAAATTTCATTTAACAATATAAATTACTGGCAATACTGCATTTACTGTACCTGTAATTTCGATTAACTGAATGAGAACATAGAAACAAGTAAAACATGTAAGCATATGATCAATTACACAATCACTTCAAGTTCACCTGGAGTGTTTTTATATATATATATATAGATGCCTTTTATCCCACATGAAATTATGCCTGAACTCTATTCATTCAGCAGATGTAAATAGCTTCAGAAACAAGAAAAAGAAACCAAACAAAAACTGATGCCTACCGGGGAAAATCGTGCTATGTTATCTGGCCACATCTCAAAACTGCCTTGAAGGTGACATACATATAGCATCAAGCATGACTAAGCGATCAAAGAAATTCTAAGACCCTTCACAGACATGAATGAAGTACCTTCACTCAGTAGCAGTAGCAACCAGAGACCGACAGAGGTGTAGATAAAAGACTGCTTCGCAGGAAGTCTGTAAACCATCCTGAATGACTGCTTTGATATCACTTGTCCCGTCACGGCTATGATGCGAAACAGCTCAACCAAGGCCTGGCCCAACAACATTGTTTTCGCGTGCTGTCCAACAGACTGAGACAAAGGAGATATCCAATTTACACGAAGCTGAAGGCACAAACGAAACCAAAACAAGACGCGCGGCTCCTCAGACTACCTTCGCACAACGTACCGCACTCGGCCAGAGCACGGAGGCAAAAGACTGGAGTCGCGCGAGCCTGAGGCTGATAAAAGGGCGATAACAGTTTCGAAAGCCCATGCCGGTGTCGCTGGCTGCCCGTTATCAGCGCACTCAGATTGAGGCATCACACATAGATCCCAGCACTGTCATTTGTGCATGGGGTGACAGCTTGTTCGAAGAATGGTCAGCACTTGCACTCGGAGAGACAGAGGAGATTGAAAGGGTGTTGACAGTTTTTTTGACAACCGCGTTCCGCAGTGACGTTGCCACAAGAATGAGTGGATTGCTAAACCCTAGTCGTTCTTATCTTGACACCCCTCAACAAGCACGGAACACTCACGTGAACAGTTCCCCCCTCGCAATGCCGAGGGTGCGTATTGCCGAGTTGTATGAACTGAACGGCAAATACGTGCTTCATTTGCTTATTGTGGAAACCGAGATAAGCACATTTTTCAGTGGTAGCTATAATAAGCCTATGAAGTCATTAATTAATTTTTTTATTCAACTGTCAAAATGCTAAAAAGAAGGTATATTCAACATTGACAGCAAGAGACAGGTTTTCTGAGAAGCATAACTAACTGACACGTAGGGACTGCAGCTCCCAATTTTGTGTAAACACCTATCACTGCTTCACAGGCCTATAGCCAGGAGGGTGCCCTAGCCTGCCCCCCCTCCCCCCCCCCCCCCCATAAAAAATAATATCTGATAAAGGGGTGTATTACCGAGAACAAATAAAGAAAATAGGGGCTTTTCAATGTCTTCAAGAAGTGGGATTCCCATTGAAAAAAATTCCTGGCTCTGGGCCTGCTGCTTCCTCATATCTATGATAAACATAGCATATCTATGATATGATATGACACCACAGGTGACAACGACAATTGTGGCACACAAAACTGCAGATGGGCACAAATTCGGGCTGGTAGGTTGATGATTAAATGCAGGAAACAGTATAATAAGATGTGACAAAACAAAAATGCAGTGATTTGTGTTTTTTTTTTTTTCACCCCGTTTTGCAGCACTGTTTCCTGTGTATAAAAAAAATTGCCTTTCGAAATCACACACATGCGATACTTGAGAGAAGGTGCTCCTGAGAGGAAAGACAAAACATACAGCAAAGTTGGTAACACAGTTTTGATGTAATTAGAAAAAAGAAACCAGGGACGGTATTGGCTTTACAGAAAGCAACAGAATACCAAGGGAAAACTACCCATATCTGGCACGTGCAATACTTTAGCTGAAGAGGCATAGGGGAACTGCATGATATCATAGAGATTACCAATCCTGCTAAGCCGTGCACGTCGAACAAGTGCAACTCGATGCTTCTTATCTCTGGCGGAGATTTATCTCCGTGCAATCTTTGCCCGTTCTCATACAAATAGCGTTTGCCTACTGTTCCAGAGAACAAATTGCAAGTGGGTATGCCATATACACACATTTTTTTTTTCTTTTAGCCTTAGCCCAAAGAATGGTCGACTACAGTGCATATATACATAGCGACTATTCTAACAATTGCATCTCTCTAAGTTATTCCTGGCTAAAACTTCTCTGGAAGGCAGCAACCGTTAATCAGACACTCAACACTTTACATCACAGAAATTGAGTCTGCCTATTGCAAAGGCAGAAGTCTACAACCAACTTAAAGCAAACCTATGTAAAGCTAGCAGCAGTATCCCTCATCACCTGAGCAATACAGTGTTTTTCAATATTTACCTGGTAGCATATATTATTATGGAAACTGTGCATACGGTTTGTTAGCTCTTTTTGTCACAAAATCTACTGTGCTATTAGATACATAAATCATGAATATGTTTGGGCAAAATCAGAGGCTTACTTATTCGTGAAATGGGATAAAACAATTTATCTTTGAAAATGTACGGCAAGCAAGAAATTACTTGATGGCATAGGTGCCATAAAGTGTGTCAATGCTATTTAAAAATAGTGGTGGGAATCATAAAGACTTTTTGCAGCAGAGTGCGAGAAACATTAAGAAAATGATTGATTGATTGACTGATTGATATGAGGGGTCTAATATTCCAAAACCACCATATGATTATGAGAGACGCCGTAGAGGTGGGCTCCGGAAATTTCGACCACCTGTGGTTCTTTAACGTGCACCCAAATCTGAGCACACGGGCCTACAGCAATTTTGCCTCCATCGAAAAGGCAGCAGCCACAGCCGAGATTCAATCTCGCGACCCGCGGGACATTAAGAAAACGAGGCGAGACTTGTCAAAATTAATGCAGCAAGAACAAAAATTAGGCTTGATCACAAATACTATATGCTTTCACACAGTTACAGTGGCCTCAGCTGTACTCTAAACTCAAGCAAGAATCTAGGTAAGAGGATGCGCGAAAAAATAATGACACTTTTAAGCAACTAACAAAGCAAAATTACGTAAGTATGACAATCGAAATCAGAATGTGCCCTTCGATTTCCTCCGGTTCCAGAAAAATGATGCAGCATAGATATCAATTTCACTTTTTTTTTTTTTGGCCCCCAGTGACGAAACGTGTGAGAACACGTAACGAACCAGAAAAGGAATTAGCCAGCACAAAGCATGCATGCCAAACGTTAAATAAAGGAATTTGCCAGCACAAAGCATGCATGTCAAACTTTAAGTCAATAAATGAAACTATTAGATGTCGCAGGAAGGTATGAAATGCTGACACTTCAGACGCAAGGTAAAACACCTCTTGACGAATAATTACTTGTAGCGTCTGTAGGTTACCAGCATATGCAAATGCATTCTGATTTGTTCTTCGCAGTTCACGTTTCATTCTGGTCTGTCGGCACAGAAGTGCTTTACCACATTCCCAGCTTTCACACAGTGATGCAGCACAACAGCCTTACTTTAGTGTCATAGTCAGCAATGACCGGCTTGCAAAAATAAGCCAAGGGATGGTCAAAATAGCATGTGCGAATTTCATGTTTCATTCTATTCTGCCAGCACAACTGTGCTTCATCACATTTCCAGCTTTCATGGTGTGATGTGGTGTAACAGCATTACTTACAAAGCATACTCAGTGGTAACCAGATTGCGTAAATAAGCAAAGGGGCGGTTAAAATATATGTGCAACCCAGAGTTAGCCCTCGTTAATTCAAACTCAAAGGGACTTCTTAATCTTGTTTGAATTATCAAGAAGTTTGAATTATCAGAAGTTCTCAGATACATGACTGTGGGTGAGGTGACATCACGCATTATGATTAGGCATTCATTTTATCAGATTTGAAAAATTTTTAAGCATTTTTAAACCTTAACGGCATGCAATGAATAGAAATGAGTTGTAAGGTCCACAAGTTTATCCGCCACTCACTGCTGACCACACCTTTTGAAGAAATTGTGAATTGCCAACTGCTTCCTTGCTATATGTGCCTTCAGCACAGAGCTCGAGCTCTATACCAGTAGAGAAGCATCACGGTTTACCACGTGTGTGCTTCGTTCCAAACATTTGTTTACTAGCAAATCTTTTTTTCTTTCAAAGGCTTAGACGCTTATTTTTCATTTTTAGACTGTTAGTATTATGTAAGCTTTCTCATTACTATTAAATGGTAGTGGGAAAATAGCAGATATTTCTGGTATAGAACCACAAAAAGTACGAATTAACTGAATAAGAGTTTCAATTAAGAGGTTTTTATATAGTACATTGAAAGAATGGAGGGGACAAACAAAAAATTGAATTTTGTTTGAATTAACAAAAAGTATGAATTATCAAAGTTTCAATTATCGCTAGTTTACTGCATAAACTACACAGTAAGAAAAACACATGGACAAATAAATATAAACAAGAAAAAATACGGACAACCGTGTTCGTGTTTTTCTTACCATGCTGTTACGTAAAATTTGCCCACATCTTTTTTTGGAGCCTCCTGACACAAACCGGCAGCGTAAAGAATCAGGGCCCCTTATTTAAACGAGTTACACGAGTCAACACAATGTGAGAGGGCGCCACTCACGGCTTGCCATGTGCCTTGAGCGACCAGAGCAGTTCTGTAGGCTGGCGGACGACAGCGCACACAGCCAAGGCGACGAGAACAGGGGGGAAGCCGGGGCATGGCAGGCGTCCTTGTGGCGGCCTAACCAGGGGCCACCGCTGCGCTGGGTCGTTAGCAGCAGCAGCGGTAGGCTCTGGTGCGAGAGCCACATGCTTTCTGGATCACACACTCCCAGCCACAGTCAGGCGGCTCTGCTGGAGCGAAAGCACAGACAACGGCAAAGCAAGAAATCAGCGAAAAAGCAATCCAGTGTCATGCAAGTCTAGAGCATCTACTGTCAACACGCAAGTGTTAAGGCCAGACGTGATTTTCCGAAGCACTGCACAAAGTAGACAACAGCGACAATAAAATCGCAGCCCTGGTTTGTACCAACGCCACAATAAAGCGCCAGTGTTAGGAGATTTTGCTGGCAGCAAGTCTTAGGCAAACAGTCGATATAGGTGGCACCCATGCAATTTTCGTGGCATTAGTTTGGTATGCAACATAAAAAAAAGCCGAATATAGAAACCGATCATAAGATCTCTGAATATGTCAATCAACATCGTGACATAACATTATTAACCCTTCAACTGTGCTCTTATTTTGAAAAGATTTTTCTTTAAAGTTGTTTTTTCATAGTTGGTATTGAATATATCTCTTCTAAAAAAAGGCAAGTTTTTGCTGTTGAGAAAAGATTGCAACACACAAAGTAAAATTAGCTTAATGAAGCTTATGTTTAATTACCTACTGGAAAAAAAGTCGGCTACCTGCTAATATTTACCAAAAAGGAAAAAAGAACATGAGTGCCTCTATACATTCTCTGCATTATGAGAATAGATTCATGATTCTGACAATTTCCTGACTTTCGAAACAGTTTGGTGACGGTTTAGTAAAGCAAACTGTGCTTGGTTGAAACATGGGCTAAGCATTGTAATCAGTCAACAGATGGATGCAAATGATGTGTATTTAAAACTATTTTACACAATTGGCCAGGACAGAAGGGTGCCCCTAGTTGGCTTTGCGAATGTCAAGCCAATTAAAGATGACAGGAGGATTCAATATATCTACTAAAGTTCTGGATAAAAGTAAGCTCTCAGATTTAGGATCTCACTTCTAAACAGGCATTGATCAGGTGAAATTCTTTATTTGTAAAGACTTGAACCACGGACATGTTAAGCTTCTTTCCCTCAACCTTCTTTCTTTTTCATTCCTCATGTTAGGATTATCCTGTTCCATATGCTTTTTAACCTATAAGTAGGGCCAATGAATTTAGTCAGTCAATCTATACACAAAGCCTTGCAATGTCAGCAATCAGAGATCGATAATGAGTATTCATCGGCATTTCATGGGCCACATTATTGTTTTTATTTTTCAAGAGTAAAGGAAAAGAAAAGGAGAAGGCGGGTATGTTAATGAAAAATGCCCCTGGAATAGAGAAAGGAAAAGAGAAAGACATATTGTTTAATCATCTGAGACATGTTTCCCCAAACAAACACCGATACATTACTCCACAAACCACTGATCGGTCACTTCTCTCGTGAGCTGATGCTCCAGTAACAATGCTATGTTGAACTAACAAGCGGCGACGCAACCTTTCGTATGACCTATCAACAAATGAATTGTTGTTATGATATACCATCAACTGCAAAACAGTCTCCTGATCCCCAAATCACACACACACAAAAAAAAATTTAAAGACACAACTGAGGCCTGGGCTTGGTCTTGCTAAGGTTTTATTTTGCTGGTGATTAGTTTAAATGAAAGCCCCCCAGTGTTTTTTTCTTGCTGCGAAAGCCTGCGGGTCTTGAGAGCAGCCACAAACACGAGACTTCCTAGCGCGAGATGCCAGTGGACTTGCTTGGTAAACTCGGAGTGGGCTCCGCAGAGAAAAAAGGGGACATTCAGCCGTTGATTTCTGTACTGAAACGGCCACTATAACAAAAAGTAATAACAAAAGAACCGCATGAGCCGCACGAACACACGCCTTCCGCAGAGCTTATACGCTCATTGCATAACCCGTCAGGCAATCCCGTTTAGGCTGCCAACACGTGCAACGCGGGCTGATCTGCATCGCCGCTGACCACTTTTTTGTTTTGCCGTCTTTCGTTTCTCGGCTTCTCCCACTCTCTTGGCATCGCTTGTAGGCGCTCCGCGCAGACGCTATTTTCGTCCGCTAGAAGGCACGGGACTGGAGGATGGGGGGCACAGAGTGCTCCGCCTGCCAAAATGTCTGAAGTAACAACGAAGCGGTCTGGGCTGTAAGAGGACAAGTGGACGCAGGGGAAGGTAGCTTCTGTCTGGCGTAAGGGTGCCAAATGATTTACGTCGCCCACACGGAGCGGCGGTGGTCACTTCTGACGCGGATCGATGCCCCGGGTTCAGTACCCCGGTCCCAAGTCGCGAGAGCGCGCACGTACGGCCGCAAACGGCGGTCGGGTCGCGATGGGTCACGCACGCGGTATCGGCGCGACACAATCACCATGGCAACCGCTCGCCCAATGCGGTCACGTGCTCTACGCGTGACTGAACAACACACAGCAACAATACTACGTACAGAAAGCACAGGCGCAAGACACTGATGTTAACTGACCACCCCAGGAAGTCCGCCATGCGTTCGAAAGGAAATGATAAGTGCGACGTGCCTTGCATATTAATAACAGTAACGATTTGACGTCGCAAAACCACGACACGATTGATTATGAGGGTAGCCGTAGCGGAGGGCTCCGGAAATTTCGACAACGTCGGGGTTCGCTAACGCGCCCCTGAATTTGGGTACACCGACTTCTAACATTCCGCTTTTATCGAAACGAGGCCGGTATCCGATACCGCGAGCTTCGGATATGCAGACGAGCATCACAACCACTAGGCCACCACGGCGGGTTGTATTTCGTTTTGGACAATGACAGCCGCGCGCCGGTAGCACGAAACCACAAAGAAATCCGTAGGGATGTTCCGGTCCGGGGGTCGAACCCGGGACCAACGCCTTTACGGGGCGGTCGCCCTACCTTCGTTTTGCGGAGAGCGCAAGGGGCGGACGTGAACAGACGCCGCGGTGGTTGTGAGAATCGTGGTGTTACGAATAGCGAAAAACAATCATTTCGACGCACGCTGCTCCCATGCAGCATATATAAAAAATAAACAAATTGGGTAACACGGCCCGTTTTCCAACTCGTTTTCCTTACCTTCGGAATAGCGAAACTGCGCGCCGCTGGCTTCGCCGCAACGCGGCCCCCCAAAAATAACAACCCCGTCCGCTTATTTGGACATCGGCCCATCAACCCTTTCGCGATTCCGAGGACAGTCCACGCTTAAACAGAGCCCCCATCGCGATCCAACGATCGACGACTTAGAAGCCGATCAAGGCCGGGTCTGCTGCAGCGCGCGCGTTTCTTCCCGCAAATCGCTTCTGGTAAGCAGCCCGAAGATATCCTTCCACTGCTCGCTCGGTCGTTTTACTCACTGGACTGCGTTTTCTATCGAATCACAGACGCGTATCGGCGAAGCGCCGCTACTCAGCCAAGCGGGGAGTCCGGCGAAACAAAAACAAACAAGAGCACGCGTGCCGGATCTCCTCTTCCACGTCGCCGCCAACGAGCGGCGGCCACATCGAACGACGGCACTCGTGGCGAGAGAGAGCGCAAAGTGGGCGGGAGCAGATAATAGCGTGCGACGCGGACAAGCCGCCTTCCCAGAAGTGGACGTGCCTGTCGTAGTAGGGGGCGAAAGGCGCTGGCAAAACTGCGGCACGGACACCGCGCGCACAGTCGGCACTCCGACGCGCCGGGTCGCTGCTTTCGTGCCCCTGGTCATAAGTAAATCAAATAATAAAAACTCCCAAGCATTTCCCCGAGGGTGAACATGGTTAAGTGCGAATGCACGGGGTGATGCTATGAGGGGCATTTGTTAATTCGCACTATTATATTCAATAATCCCACTATGGTGCCTTTGTGGTGTAATGGTTCCTGGGAATCGGAATTAAAGATATAAGGCGCGTTACTGACACCGATATCAGCGTCGCGTCCGTGGCTTATTCGGTAGAGCGTCGCGCTGCGGCCCGCCAAGTCCTCTTTCTTTTAAAGATATAGAAAAGACTGCGGACGCCGCCGACGGCGGTGGATGGTTTGATGTCGCTTATAAAGTGTATTCACACTTAATAAATAATAATAATAATAATAATAATAATAATAATAATAATAATAATAATAATAACAGCTTTGATGATTGCTATGTGGGGTTAAACGTCCCAAAACCACCTTATGATTATGAGAGAGACGCCGTAGTGGAGGGCTCCGGAAATTTCAACCACCCGGGGTTCTTTAACGTGCGCCCAAATCCGAGCACACTGGCCTAAGGCATTTCCGCCTCCATCGGAAATGCAGCCGCCACAGCCGGGATGCGATCCCGCGACCTGTGGGTCCGCAGCCGGGTACCTTAGCCACTAGGTAATAATAATAATAATAATAATAATAATAATAATAATAATAATAATAATAATAATAATAATAATAATAATAATAATAATAATAATCGAGGTTTAACGTCTCTAAAGCGCAATATGATTATGCGTGATGCAGTGGTGGAGGGCTCCAGAACTTTTGCCTATATGGGATTCTTTAACGTGCACCTATAGATATATGTGACTAAATATCTAAGCGCGCAGGCCTATAGCATTTCGCCTCCATCGAAATACGGCCGCCGTGGCCGGGATTCGATTCCGCGATCTTCGTATAGGATCAGCATAGTCGACCACCGCAGCCACTATAGAACACCGCGGTGGGCCTGAGCAAAGGATCGGCCCTCACTTTAAAACCAGTGCGAGAATCGTGCGCAGAGGCTGCCTCCCCACCTGGCAACAGCTGCCCCGTGTCAGAATCAACGATCGGGACCCAGATAAGAGAAGCACGAAACGTGGCCTCCAAGCGCGCCGGCGGACTATCGCGGAAGGCGGCGACCAATCGGTGAAGTTTAGGAAGAAAAAGAAGACCGATCGGAAGGAGGAGGAGGAGGATATAACCTTCTAATCGCCGGTAGCTCTCTTGTATGAAAGCCGCTTCGAATGATTCGCTCCCACGGTTGTGGCCTGACCGCTTGGAACTGAATCCCGAGTAGTGCTGCACGCGCCCTTTTATGTTTTCACTAATGAATCGCCTTGGATTGGGAGTTGCGTAGCAAGAAACCGTATCGCCGCGTTCACAGAAATGCCGAAGCCTTA